CACACACACACTAACACACACACACTAACACACTAACACACGCACACACTACTGCGTTGTGCCCCGCAGGAACCTGCAGAAGAAGTACCTGCCCAAGCGCGTCACCGAGGAGGAGAAGAGGTGAGCGGAGCTCGCCGGCCCGGCGGCGGCAAGGGGGGGCGGCGCTTGCCAGGCATCGTAGGTCCCCGAGGGTTTCGGTCCGGCGTGCCGGGGCGCGGTGCCGACGACCGGCAGCTGTCGGCGACGCGAAGAGCGGCCGGCGGTGAGCGACCTCAGGGTACGGGGTCACGGTAGCGGCGGCGGCGCCGCCACCGCTACCGTGACCCCGTACCAAAGTGATTGACCGGTAGCGGCGGCGGCGACGCTACCGTGACCCCGTACCCAAGGTGATTGACCGGAAGCGGCGGCGGCGACGCTACCGTGACCCCATACCAAGGTGATTGACCGGTAGCGGCGACGCTACCGTGACCCCGTACCAAGGTGATTGACCGGTAGCGGCGGCGGCGACGCTACCGTGACCCCGTACCACGGTGATTGACCGGTAGCGGCGGCGGCGACGCTACCGTGACCCCGTACCCAAGGTGATTGACCGGTAGCGGCGGCGGCGACGCTACCGTGACCCCGTACCACGGTGATTGACCGGTAGCGGCGGCGGCGACGCTACCGTGACCCCGTACCCAAGGTGATTGACCGGTAGCGGCGGCGGCGACGCTACCGTGACCCCGTACCAAGGTGACTGACCGGTAGCGGCGGCGGCGACGCTACCGTGACCCCGTACCAAGGTGATTGACCGGTAGCGGCGGCGGCGACGCTACCGTGACCCCGTATCGCGGTGAGTGACCTCGGTACAGGGGTCACGGTAGCGGCCGCGACCTGGTACGGTCCCCCGGTGCGGAAAATAAGAAAAACCTTAATTTAGTTTAAAAAAAAAAACAACTAAATTTAGTTCGAGCGTGTTTTTTTTTTTATTTCGTTTAGGTTTAAAAAATGTGTTCAGGTAAGATGAAATGTTTCATTAGTTGAGTTTTCGTCACACAGAAAGTGACACTCTGTGAGTGACACTCCACCCTGCGTGTGTCTGTGAGTCACACTCCACCCTGTGTCTGTGAGTGACACTCCACCCTGCGTGTCTGTGACACTCCACCCTGTGTGTCTGTGACACTCCACCCTGTGTCTGTGAGTGACACTCCACCCTGTGTCTGTGAGTGACACTCCACCCTGCGTGTGTCTGTGAGTGACACTCCACCCTGTGTCTGTGAGTGACACTCCACCCTGCGTGTCTGTGACACTCCACCCTGTGTGTCTGTGACACTCCACCCTGTGTCTGTGAGTGACACTCCACCCTGTGTCTGTGAGTGACACACCACCCTGTGTGTCTGTGACACTCCACCCTGTGTGTCTGTGAGTGACACTCCACCCTGTGTCTCTGTGAGTGACACTCCACCCTGTGTCTGTGAGTGACACTCCACCCTGCGTGTCTGTGAGTGACACTCCACCCTGTGTTTCTGTGAGTGACACTCCACCCTGTGTCTGTGAGTGACACTCCACCCTGTGTCTCTGTGAGTGACACTCCACCCTGCGTGTCTGTGACACTCCACCCTGTGTGTCTGTGAGTGACACTCCACCCTGTGTCTCTGTGAGTGACACTCCACCCTGTGTCTGTGAGTGACACTCCACCCTGTCTCTGTGAGTGACACTCCACCCTGTGTCTCTGTGAGTGACACTCCACCCTGTGTCTCTGTGAGTGACACTCCACCCTGTGTCTCTGTGAGTGACACTCCACCCTGTGTCTGTGAGTGACACTCCACCCTGTGTCTCTGTGACACTCCACCCTGTGTGTCTGTGAGTGACACTCCACCCTGTGTCTGTGAGTGACACTCCACCCTGTGTGTGTCTGTGACACTCCACCCTGTGTCTCTGTGAGTGACACTCCACCCTGTGTCTGTGAGTGACACTCCACCCTGTGTCTGTGAGTGACACTCCACCCTGTGTCTCTGTGAGTGACACTCCACCCTGCGTGTCTGTGACACTCCACCCTGTGTCTCTGTGAGTGACACTCCACCCTGCGTGTTTGTGAGTGACACTCCACCCTGTGTGTCTGTGACACTCCACCCTGTGTGAGTGACACTCCACCCTGCGTGTCTGTGACACTCCACCCTGTGTCTCTGTGAGTGACACTCCACCCTGCGTGTCTGTGACACTCCACCCTGTGTCTCTGTGAGTGACACTCCACCCTGTGTCTCTGTGAGTGACACTCCACCCTGCGTGTCTGTGACACTCCACCCTGTGTCTGTGACACTCCACCCTGTGTCTGTGAGTGACACTCCACCCTGTGTGTGTCTGTGACACTCCACCCTGTGTCTCTGTGAGTGACACTCCACCCTGTGTCTGTGAGTGACACTCCACCCTGTGTCTGTGAGTGACACTCCACCCTGTGTCTCTGTGAGTGACACTCCACCCTGCGTGTCTGTGACACTCCACCCTGTGTCTCTGTGAGTGACACTCCACCCTGTGTGTCTGTGAGTGACACTCCACCCTGCATGTCTGTGAGTGACACTCCACCCTGTGTGTCTGTGACACTCCACCCTGTGTGAGTGACACTCCACCCTGCGTGTCTGTGACACTCCACCCTGTGTCTCTGTGAGTGACACTCCACCCTGCGTGTCTGTGACACTCCACCCTGTGTCTCTGTGAGTGACACTCCACCCTGTGTCTCTGTGAGTGACACTCCACCCTGCGTGTCTGTGACACTCCACCCTGTGTCTCTGTGACACACCACCCTGTGTCTGTGAGTGACACTCCACCCTGTGTCTCTGTGAGTGACACTCCACCCTGTGTGTCTGTGAGTGACACTCCACCCTGTGTCTGTGAGTGACACTCCACCCTGTGTGTCTGTGAGTGACACTCCACCCTGTGTCTCTGTGAGTGACACTCCACCCTGTGTCTGTGAGTGACACTCCACCCTGTGTTTGTGACACTCCACCCTGTCTGTGAGTGACACTCCACCCTGTGTGTCTGTGACACTACACCCTGCGTGTCTGTGAATGACACTCCACCCTGTGTCTGTGACACACCACCCTGTGTGTCTGTGAGTGACACTCCACCCTGTGTGTCTGTGAGTGACACTCCACCCTGTGTCTGTGACACTCCACCCTGTGTCTGTGAGTGACACTCCACCCTGTGTGTCTGTGACACTCCACCCTGCGTGTCTGTGAGTGACACTCCACCCTGTGTCTGTGACACACCACCCTGTGTGTCTGTGAGTGACACTCCACCCTGCGTGTCTGTGAGTGACACTCCACCCTGTGTGTCTGTGACACTCCACCCTGTGTGTCTGTGAGTGACACACCACCCTGTGTGTCTGTGAGTGACACTCCACCCTGTGTGTCTGTGAGTGACACTCCACCCTGCGTGTCTGTGAGTGACACTCCACCCTGTGTGTCTGTGAGTGACACTCCACCCTGTGTGTCTGTGAGTGACACTCCACCCTGTGTGTCTGTGAGTGACACTCCACCCTGCGTGTCTGTGAGTGACACTCCACCCTGTGTGTCTGTGAGTGACACTCCACCCTGCGTGTCTGTGAGTGACACACCACCCTGTCTCTGTGAGTGACACACCACCCTGTGTCTGTGAGTGACACTCCACCCTGTGTGTCTGTGAGTGACACTCCACCCTGTGTCTCTGTGAGTGACACTCCACCCTGTGTCTCTGTGAGTGACACTCCACCCTGCGTGTCTGTGAGTGACACTCCACCCTGCGTGTCTGTGAGTGACACTCCACCCTGTGTCTCTGTGAGTGACACTCCACCCTGTGTCTCTGTGAGTGACACTCCACCCTGTGTCTCTGTGAGTGTCACTCCACCCTGCGTGTCTCTGTGAGTGACACTCCACCCTGTGTATCTGTGACACTCCACCCTGTGTGTCTGTGACACACCACCATGCGTGTCTGTGACACACCGCCCTGCGTGTCTGTGACACACCACCCTGCGTGTCTCTGTGACACACCGCCCTGCGTGGCCCCTCCCAGCTACACGTCCTGCCGCGCCTTCTTCGCCACGCTGCATCAGCTGGGCGAATACGCCGGGCACCACGAGCAGCTGGCTGACACGCTGGCGGACCGCGTGGTGGGCAGCCTGGCGCGCTACCACGCCGAGGCCAAGCAACAGCGCAAGGCGGTGAGCGCCGACGCCGGTGCCGGCGGGCGCCGGTGAACGTCCCCCAGCGTCGCTCCAATCGCCGGCGGCGCGAGAATCGGGGTGTCTTTTTGGTTCTCTTCGGTAAAGTCACGTGGGTTAAAAAACGAAAATAAAACGGCAAAAAATCACGACGTTTCGGCCACAACACAAGCGGGCCTTCGTCAGGTGAAGGGACCAGGCTGTCTCGAGGACAGCGCGCTGGAGTGAAAACAGAGCCAAGCTCAGACCGCGGACCTTTAAGCTGTGTGAGAGTAATTAAGGTGCCTTGACAAAGGAATTAGCGTAAAAATTTTCATTTTTTTTTATTGTTTTATATTTTTTACCCACGTGACTCTACCGAATAGAACCAAAGAGTATGGATCCTTGCAGTCACGAAAGCTTCACATCTAGAATCGGGATGTTTGTTTGAAATGTTCTTTTTTGTTATAATTATTTTACCGCGGGGTTTGTTAAACAAATATATATTTTACCGGTCCGAGGCCTCGCTGAGCTGCTGCGTAGCTGTTTTTTATCTTTTTTTCATAATGGCCCTGGACCCTGGCCATCACAAATGATGGCCAGCTCAACCACGTGGCTTATCGTCATTGTCATCACCACCACGTGGATATTTACAACAGAAGCGAAAATCTTGTAGAGACCCACGGAGACCCATACTTATCAAGACCCATACTGAAACTAACCTTAAATGTTAGCCACAAATGCCGTGGGTTGACCCACTGAGATGACTTGCGGATGCACCACCAGCTGTGGCCCCCCGCCGTGCCAGGCTAGGTGCAGGAGGTCACGGGGCAGACCCTGCAGGTGCCGTGGGTCGACCGACTGAGATGATTGGCCAGACCCACCACCTGTGCCCCCCGCTGTGCCAGGCTAGGGGCGTGGCATTGCCCTTAGGCTTGCCACCAACTCCAACCATCGCCAAACGCGTGCTCACCGGAGCGGCGAAGTATGGCCAAAACACCACGGGGGGGGGGGGGGGGAGGGGTGGGGCGAGCGGTGGGGGGTGCGAGGAGGCTTTTCGCCGGTGCCGTGCCTCGACCGGGGGGGGGGTGATGATGTCACCTTTTTGAAATCGGAATCAAATCTCGCCCGCCCCCCTTATCCCCGACTCGAACCTGGCAGTTGCTGTTCGAGGGACGGCGAGCACAGCGGCACCTGGACACGTGTTGGAAGCAGGTGGAGGAGGTGAGTTGGCGGTTCCACCCCCCCCCCCCAAAGACAAATACAAAGATCCCCTGTGTAGCCTCTGATACACTGTAGCGGCAAGTAGCAGCAGCAGCAGCAGCACCTATGGAGGTGGGAACGGTACACGAGGGGGTGGGTGGCCAGCAACCACGCCCGGCCGCCTTTGTCTCCCCAGTGGCGAAGTTTGCTGCACACCGCTGCACCAGGTGCTAATTTGAGGCTGAGTTGACCTAGGTGGAGGTCCGGGACCGGTTCAGAGAATCGTCACTGGCGGTGTTGGCCGTGAGCGGGAATCGAACTCGGGTCGCCGGGTTCGTAGCGCAGCGTAGCGCTAACCACTACACTACCGCTACCCACACAGACACACAGGCACAGACACACACCAACACACACTAACACACACACCAACACACACTGACACACACACACTAACACATACACTAACACACACACTAACACATACACACTAACACACACACTAACACACACACTCACTAACACACACACTCACTAACACACACACTCACTAACACACACACTCACTAACACACACACACTAACACACACTAACAAAGAACAAAGATCCCCCATATAGCTTTAACAGACTATAGGGGCAAGTGCTGTTAGCGAGCACCTACACACTAACACACAACAACACAACAACAACCGCCATTCGCCACTAAGTGGCGGTGACGTCACCACGACGCTTGTGCCAGGCCATGTGCACCTTGAGGCCACGTGAAGTGTCGAACGCCCGCTGGCAGGAGGTCACAGGGCAGACCCAGGTGCCACGGGTCGACTGACTGAGATGACTGGCTGGTGCACCACCTGTGCCCCCTACTGTGCCAACCTGCTGTGCTTTAGCCACCCGGCGCTCCGCTCGTTGTTCTGAGCGTCGCTCCTCCGCCCTCCGTTGTTGTTGGAGGGCGACTGCCTCCAACTGCCCAGTAGCGTCCTTCACGAGCCTCCTCCACAGAGGCCGATCTTGACACCGCTGGTACCAGTCATCGGCAAGTCCACTCAGCTCCACGTCCTCCTGTACCACATCACTCCATATCTTCTCTAGCCCGTGCCACGCCCGTTTAGCCCCCTCGATCCGGCCGAACAAAAGCTGTTTCGGCATGCGGTGGCTGGGCATGCGGGCGACATGACCCAGCCAACGCAGCCTTGCCGGCCGGAGGAGCTCACCGATGGGACCTTGCTCAGATCTTTCAAGGGTTTATGAGCTCCTCACACAATCCAGCCTGGTTAAACCCAGGATGGATCGTAGGCAGGCCAGCCTAAATGTTTCCAACCGGTGAAGATGCTCCATTAAAGGGGTCCACGTTTCGCAAGTGTAGAGAAGGGAGGGAATGACCGTGGCCGAGAAGACCTGAAGCTTAGTGCGGAGCGACAGACCAGGTAGCTTCCACACAGCGTTACGCAACCGATGAAAAGATATTGCCGCTCGACTGATTCGGAGTGAGACCTCTGCTGTTAAACTGGAGCCGGTCATAAGTACACTGCCCGGGTATGGGAAACTCTCCACTCTCTCCACAACTGCCCCATCACCGATTGGGAGTTGTGGGGGTGGAGTGTCCGATGGAACAAAATACCCAGGCAGGTGCTTAGTTTTGGTGGGGCTGATGGTAATGCCCCACCTCTTAGTGGCACGCTCCAGTCTCAGCAGCAGCGTCTCCAACTCCTCCTCTGAATGAGCAGCTATTACCAAATCATCGGCATACATAATGTGGTTGAGCAATAGGGAGCCATCCCTTGACCGCACCCGGGCATCGATCAGCCTCCCATTATATCTGTACCAAATGGAGATTCCCCCGGTACAGCTCTTGAAGGCTTCACGAACTACGTGGTCAAAATAGATGTTAAATAATGTGGGAGCCAGAGGACATCCCTGTCGCACCCCAAGGTGTACAGGGAATGGCTCTGACTCCCGGCCACGTAGTTTTACCCGGGCTCGCTCACCATCATGAAGGTCCTTAATGATCGTGAGCAGAGGGTCAGGGACTCCAAAAGCACGAAGAACAACCCAGAGCCCAGGCCTACTGATGGTATCATAGGCCTTGACCAGGTCAATAAAGCAGAGATGTAGGTCTTGTTGGAATTCCCTACACCTCTGCTGTAGCAGACGGACAGAAAATATGGCATCTGTGCAGGACCGCCCTTTCCTGAAACCGCATTGGGGCTCCGCAAGCCTCTCCTCAGCTTGCCTGGCAAGACGATGTTGAATAATCCTTGCCAGGACATTTCCCGGCACACTGAGGAGTGAGATGCCCCTGTAGTTGTTATAGTCTGTGCGGTCCCCCTTCTTAAAGAGCGGGACCACCAGGGCATCCTTCCAATCCTGCGGAACCCGTCCAGTGGTCCAGATTGTTATGATGTCATATAGGGCAGTCTGTGCACAAACGCCACCCTCCCTCAGCATTTCGCTTGGGAGATCGTCTCTACCTGGTGCCTTTCCTGGTCTCAGACTCCGGATCGCCTTCAATACTTCCTCAGCAGATGGCACCTCAGCCAGCCACTCACAGGGGGTGACTTCATCCAATATTTGAGGCACCGCAGCCTCAGCCGGGTCATCCTCACTTTGTGCCACGATGTTTTCCTGGCTGAGGGATTTTCCCTCCCCCAGGACCTCACAGAAATGCTCAGCAAATCTGCGAACCTGTTCCTGGTGGTCGGAAATTGGATCACCGTTTTTTCCCCTAATGATGGTAATAGGTGTGGCGCTGCAGGTTACTTTTTTGATGGAGTTAAATAGAGATTTGTGATCACGGGCCACTGAGGCAGACTCCATCTCCTCAGCAACCCGCGACCACCACCCATCCTTGCAGCGCCTCACGGCTCTCCGAACCTCCGAGCGAAGGCTGCGGTACGCCTCCTCATTCTCTGACGTGGGATTCTGTAGCCGATGACAGTGGGCCTGTCGCTTTTTCTCAACCATCCTGAACAACTCCTCTGTCATCCAGGGTGTCTGGGGAGGTCTGGACCACGTACCCAAAGCAGCCATTGCAGCTGCATGAGTCACAGTCCTAAACCTCGCCCATTTACCCTCGACATCAGGAGGAGTCGGGGACGATGCCAATTCCAGCCGCAAGCGATGATGAAATTCTCGCTTGCAACTTTCATCAGATAACTGAGACCAGGCCACTTTAGGTTGGAATGGGGTCCTGGGTGTACACCCACCACCGGAGTGGAAGAATGGCAGGCGCATCTTACAGATGACTAGTCGATGGTCAGAGGGCAGATCAGCTCCACGGTAGGTCCTGGTGTCAAGGACATGGGCTCGCATTCGCTGGTCCGTCACTATGTAGTCCAGCAGATGTTCTTGCTTGGACCCGGCATGCATCCATGATGTTGTGTGGATGCGCCGATGCCGGAACAGCGTGTTGGTAATTACAAGCCCATGGGCTGCACAAAAATCTAGCAGCCTCCTACCGTTGTTATTGAGCTGATCTGGCCCATGCCCTCCAATCACTCCAGACCAGGTGCCAGTATCATGACCAACTCGGGCATTAAAGTCACCCAACATGATGACTCTATCCCGAGGGGCCACTTTAGCCAGCACCTGTGACAGGAGGTCATAGAAGGCATCTGACTCATCGGCTTTGCCTGCATCCCTCCACGGATGTTCATCTTCGGTGGGGGCATAAGTAACCACGACCACCATTCCTCGCCTCCGGTTGATGGGAAGCCGAACCCAAAGTAGCCTGGGGCTTACAGCTTCCCACACCTCACCGCCACGCTCCCACGCCCCCTTCATTCTTTTGTTCAAAAGAAGACCCACACCCTGTTGTCTGGCAGTCTGCTGCCCCGAGTAGAGGACTGTCCACTCCTCATGGTGGCAGGAGCCAGAGCCGGTCCACCGGACCTCCTGAATGCCGCATAGATCCAGGCGGTACCGGTCCAGCTCCCGACAGAGGAGTGGCAGCCTCTCCTCTGCAGTGAGCGTTCGAACATTCCACGTGGCCACCCGTAGTGGCTTTTCGTTGTTTCTGGAGTAGCCCCGAGGGTAGGTATTCAATCTCCTGGCTCCGCCAATTGGGGTTTGGCCAGGAGACGTCATAGACGCCTGGCCCCCCGGGGCCTCCGGCACAAGCTTAGTTGTTACATATTTCAGTTTAATTCGTGGTTTCGTGGTAATTAATTGAAGGTGGAGGGGTTACCAGCCCCTCGCACCCGTCCAGAGCCCCCGTTTAGCCCCTGTGGTGGACACATATGCCATGAGGGGAGGAGCCAATCAAAATTGGATCTCCCCCCACAGCGCTGTCCACGACAGAGTTGCCCGTCCGGCACCGCGAGGAGGTAGGGGGTTGTTTTGCCGCACACACTCTAACACACACACCAACACACACACTAACACACACACACCAACACACACACACACTAACAAAGATCCCCCATATAGCCTTAACAGGCTGTAGGGGCAAGTGCTGTTAGCGAGCACCTATGAAGGCCGGAACGGTACACGAGGGGGTGGGTGGCCAGCACCACGCCCGACCGCCTTTGTCTCCCTCGTGGCGATGTTTACTACCCACCGCACCTGGTACTCATTTGAGGCTGAGTCGACACTAACACACACTAACACACACACCAACACACTAACACACACACTAACACACACACACACCAACACACACCAACACACTAACACACACACTAACACACACACACCAACGCACACACACCAACACACTAACACACACACCAACACACACACCAACACACACACACACCAACACACCAACGCACACACACCAACACACTAACACACACACCAACACACCAACACACCAACACACACACACCAACACTCCAACACACACACCAACACACACACCAACACATCAACACACACACACCAACACTCCAACACACACCAACACTCCAACACACACCAACACACACACCAACACACCAACACACACACACTAACACACACACACACTAACACACACGCACCACCTAACCGCCACCAGAGCAAGCGCAAGTGCGAGCGGGACACCCGCGAGTCCGACCGCGCCCGGCAGACGATGCAGCGCCACGACTGTGACCCCAACTCGTCGCGCGCCGACGTGGAGAAGGCCCGCACCGCCGCCGCTGCCCGCAAGCGCGCCGCTGAGGACAGCCGCGCCGACTTCGTCGGCCAGAGGGACGGCTTCAACCGGGAGCAGGCGGACCACTTCTACAGCGTCATGCCCGCTCTCTTCCACGTAACCGGCGGCGTGATGCCGAGGCCGTGCGCGGTCGGGTGCGGTGTGGCGCCGCGGGTGTGAGCGCGGTGTGACTGTGGGTGTGACTGGGGCTGTGAGTGCGGTGTGGCTGTGAGCGCGGTGTGGCTGTGAGTGCGGTGTGACTGTGAGTGCGGTGTGATTGTGAGTGCGGTGTGACTGTGAGTGTGGTGTGACTGTGAGTGCGGTGTGATTGTGAGTGCGGTGTGACTGTGATTGAGTGCGGTGTGACTGTGAGTGCGGTGTGACTGTGAGTGCGGTGTGACTGTGACTGTGAGTGCGGTGTGACTGTGACTGTGGTGTGACTGTGAGTGCGGTGTGGCTGTGAGTGCGGTGTGACTGTGACTGTGAGCGCGGTGTGGCTGTGAGTGCGGTGTGACTGTGAGTGCGGTGTGATTGTGAGTGCGGTGTGACTGTGAGTGTGGTGTGACTGTGAGTGCGGTGTGATTGTGAGTGCGGTGTGACTGTGATTGAGTGCGGTGTGACTGTGAGTGCGGTGTGACTGTGAGTGCGGTGTGACTGTGACTGTGAGTGCGGTGTGACTGTGACTGTGGTGTGACTGTGAGTGCGGTGTGGCTGTGAGTGCGGTGTGACTGTGACTGTGAGTGCGGTGTGACTGTGGCTGTGAGTGCGGTGTGACTGTGAGTGCGGTGTGATTGTGAGTGCGGTGTGACTGTGAGTGTGGTGTGACTGTGAGTGTGGTGTGACTGTGAGTGCGGTGTGATTGTGAGTGCGGTGTGACTGTGAGTGCGGTGTGACTGTGAGTGCGGTGTGACTGTGAGTGCAGTGTGACTGTGAGTGTGGTGTGACTGTGAGTGTGGTGTGACTGTGAGTGCGGTGTGACTGTGACTGTGAGTGCGGTGTGACTGTGACTGTGGTGTGACTGTGAGTGCGGTGTGGCTGTGAGTGCGGTGTGACTGTGACTGTGAGTGCGGTGTGACTGTGGCTGTGAGTGCGGTGTGACTGTGAGTGCGGTGTGATTGTGAGTGCGGTGTGACTGTGACTGTGAGTGCGGTGTGACTGTGGCTGTGAGTGTGGTGTGACTGTGAGTGTGGTGTGACTGTGAGTGCGGTGTGATTGTGAGTGCGGTGTGACTGTGAGTGCGGTGTGACTGTGAGTGCGGTGTGACTGTGATTGAGTGCGGTGTGACTGTGAGTGTGGTGTGACTGTGAGTGTGGTGTGACTGTGGTGTGACTGTGACTGTGGTGTGACTGTGAGTGTGGTGTGACTGTGGTGTGACTGTGACTGGTGTGACTGTGGTGTGACTGTGAGTGGTGTGACTGTGAGTGCGGTGTGACTGTGGTGTGAGTGTGGTTTGAGTGTGGTGTGACTGTGGTGTGACTGTGAGTGTGGTGTGAGTGTGGTGTGAGTGTGGTGTGACTGTGGTGTGACTGTGAGTGCGGTGTGACTGTGGTGTGAGTGTGACTGTGACTGTGAGTGTGGTGTGAGTGTGGTGTGACTGTGGTGTGAGTGTGGTGTGACTGTGAGTGCGGTGTGACTGCGTCCCCCGCAGGAGCTGGAGGAGATGGAGGCGTGCCGTCTCTCCAAGGTGCGTGAGTATCTCCGCCGCTACGCCGACGCCGAGCTCAAGGTGCTGCCGGCCATCGGCGGCTGCCTGGACGAGGTCGCACGAGCTGCCGACAGCATCAACGAGAGGCAGGTGGGTGACACACCCCCCCCCTCCCCACGTGACCCCCCCACGTGACCCCCCCTCCCCCCACGTGACCCCCCACGTGACCCCCCTCCTGCAGGACTGCCACACGGTAGCCCGGCTGTACCGCTCCGGCTACGAGCGTCCCCGTGACCTGGACGTGGAGGACTCCCCCCCACGTGACCCCCCCACGTGACCCCCCACGTGACCCCCCCACGTGACCCCCACTCCTGCAGGACTGCCACACGGTAGCCCGGCTGTACCGCTCCGGCTACGAGCGTCCCCGTGACCTGGACGTGGAGGACTCCCCCCCACGTGACCCCCCCCCCCCACGTGACCCCCCACGTGACCCCCCCACGTGACCCCCCCCCCCCCCACGTGACCCCCCACGTGACCCCCCACGTGACCCCCACTCCTGCAGGACTGCCACACGGTAGCCCGGCTGTACCGCTCCGGCTACGAGCGTCCCCGTGACCTGGACGTGGAGGACTCCCCCCGCGTGGCGGCGGGCGGCTCGGAGCTCCTCGCCCCGGGCCCCGGAGGCTCGGCGCGGTCGGCCGGCGGCGGCGGCGGTGGTGGCGGTGGTGGCCAGGACGGCTGGAGAGGCGGTGGTGGCGGCGGTGGTGGCGGTGGTGGGCGCGGGGAGCGGGGGAGGGGCGCGAGGGAGGGGTCGAGCGACAGGGGAAGGGGCGAGAGGGGCGGCGGTGGTGGCGGCGGTGGCGGTGGCGGTGGCCAGGACGGCTGGCGAGGCGGTGGCGGTGGCGGTGGTGGCGGTGGCGGTGGTGGCGGTGGCCAGGACAGCTGGCGAGGCGGTGGCGGCGGTGGCGGCGGTGGCGGCGGTGGCGGTGGTGGTGGTGGTGGTGGTGGCGGCGGTGGTCCCGAGCCCGGAGCCGGCGACGGCAAAGTGTCGGTGGGGAGGGCGCGGGGCAAGATGTGGCTCTTCGGCAAGAAGGCCAAGGTGAGTTGGCCCGCACAGCCACGTGCCGGTGGTGGTGCCGGGGGTGCCCGTGTCGGTGGGGGTGTGGTGGTGGTAGTGGTGGGGTGGTGGTGGTGGTGGGGTGGTGGTGGGGTGGTGGTGGTGGTGGTGGGGTGGTGGTGGGGTGGTGGTGGTGGTGGTGGTGGGGTGGTGGTGGGGTGGTGGTGGGGTGGTGGTGGGGTGGTGGTGGTGGTGGTGGGGTGGTGGTGCTGGTGGTGGTGGGGGGGGTTGGTGGTGGTGGTGGGGTGGTGGTGGTGGTGGTGGGGGGTGGTTAAGTGGTGGTGGTGGGGGGGGTGAGACGGCCGTTACCGGAGGGTTACCGGCGGCCGTGCGAGCCTCCGGGTGGGAACGTTTGGCCAATCGGGTGAGAGACTCGCAACAACTGCAGCAGCAGGCGGTGACGTCACCACGGCGCCAGTGCCAGGCTAGGTGCACGTTGAGGCCATCGCGCGAAGCGTCGAACGCCCGCCGGCAGGAGGAGGTCACGGCACGGACCCTGCAGGTGCCGCGGGTTAGCCGACTGAGATGACCGGTAGATGATGCACCACCTGTGGCCCCTACTGTGTACATACGTACACGTGTGTGTGTGTGCGTGTGTGTGTGTGCGCGTGTGTGTGCGTGTGTGCGTGTGTGTGTGCGTGTGTGTGTGTGCGTGTGTGTGTGCGTGTGTGTGTGTGTGCGTGTGTGTGTGTGCGTGTGTGTGTGCGTGTGTGTGTGCGTGCGTGCGTGCGTGCGTGCGTGTGTGCGTGTGTGTGTGCGTGTGTGTGTGTGTGCGTGTGTGTGTGTGTGCGGCAAAACAACCCCCTACCTCCTCACGGTGCCGGACGGGCAACTCTGTCGTGGACAGTGCTGTGGGGGGAGATCCAATTTTGATTGGCTCCTCCCCTCATGGCATATGTGTCCACCACAGGGGCTAAACGGGGGCTCTGGACGGGTGCGAGGGGCTGGTAACCCCTCCACCTTCAATTAATTACCACGAAACCACGAATTAAACTGAAATATGTAACTAATAAGCTTGTGCCGGAGGCCCCGGGGGGCCAGGCGTCTATGACGTCTCCTGGCCAAACCCCAATTGGCGGAGCCAGGAGATTGAATACCTACCCTCGGGGCTACTCCAGAAACAACGAAAAGCCACTACGGGTGGCCACGTGGAATGTTCCTCTGTCGGGAGCTGGACCGGTACTGCCTGGATCTATGCGGCATTCAGGAGGTCCGGTGGACCGGCTCTGGCTCCTGCCACCATGAGGGGTGGACAGTCCTCTACTCGGGGCAGCAGACTGCCAAACAACAGGGTGTGGGTCTTCTTTTGAACAAAGGAATGAAGGGGGCGTAGGAGCGTGGCGGTGAGGTGTGGGAAGCTGTAAGCCCCAGGCTACTTTGGGCTCGCCTTCCCATCAACCGGAGGCGAGGAATGGTGGTCGTGGTTACTTATGCCCCCACCGAAGATGAACATCCGTGGAGGGATGCAGGCAAAGCCGATGAGTCAGATGCCTTCTATGACCTCCTGTCACAGGTCCTGGCTAAAGTGGCCCCTCGGGATAGAGTCATCATGTTGGGTGACTTCAATGCCCGAGTTGGTCATGATACTGGCACCTGGTGTGGAGTGATTGGAGGGCATGGGCCAGATCAGCTCAATAACAACGGTAGGAGGCTGCTAGATTTTTGTGCAGCCCATGGGCTTGTAATTACCAACACGCTGTTCCGGCATCGGCGCATCCACACAACATCATGGATGCATGCCGGGTCCAAGCAAGAACATCTGCTGGACTACATAGTGACGGACCAGCGAATGCGAGCCCATGTCCTTGATACCAGGACCTACCGTGGAGCTGATCTGCCCTCTGACCATCGACTAGTCATCTGTAAGATGCGCCTGCCATTCTTCCACTCCGGTGGTGGGTGTACACCCAGGACCCCATTCCAACATAAAGTGGCCTGGTCTCAGTTATCTGATCAAAGTTGCAAGCGAGAATTTCATCATTGCTTGCGGCTGGGTTTGGCATCGTCCCCGACTCCTCCTGATGTCGAGGGTAAATGGGCGAGGTTTAGGACTGTGACTCATGCAGCTGCAATGGCTGCTTTGGGTACACGGTCCAGACCTCCCCAGAGACCCTGGCTGACAGAGGAGGTGTTCAGAATGGTTGAGAAAAAGCGACAGGCCCACTGTCATCGGCTACATAATCCCACGTCAGAGAATGAGGAGGCTTACCGCAGCCTTCGCTCGGAGGTTCGGAGAGCCGTGAGGCGCTGCAAGGATGGGTGGTGGTTGCGGGTTGCTGAGGAGATGGAGTCTGCCTCAGTGGCCCGTGATCACAAATCTCTATTTAACTCCATCAAAAAAGTAACCTGCAGCGCCACACCTGTTACCATCATTAGGGGAAAAAACGGTGATCCAATCTCCGACCCCCAGGAACAGGTTCGCAGATTTGCTGAGCATTTCTGTGAGGTCCTGGGGGAGGGAAAATCCCTCAGCCAGGAAAACATCATGGCACAAAGTGAGGATGACCCTGCTGAGGCTGCGGTGCCTCAAATATTGGAAGAAGTCACCCCCTGTGAGTGGCTGGCTGAGGTGCCATCTGCTGAGGAAGTATTGAAGGCGATCCGGAGTCTGAGACCAGGAAAGGCAGCGGGCAGAGATGATCTCCCAAGCGAAATGCTGAGGGAGGGTGGCGTTTGTGCACAGACTGCCCTATATGACATCATAACAACAGTCTGGACCACTGGACGGGTTCCGCAGGATTGGAAGGATGCCCTGGTGGTCCCCCTCTTTAAGAAGGGGGACCGCACAGACTGTAACAACCACAGGGGCATCTCACTCCTCAGTGTGCCGGGAAAGGTCCTGGCAAGGATTATTCAGCATCGCCTTGCCAGGCACGCTGAGGAGAGTCTTGCGGAGCCGCAATGCGGTTTCAAGAAAGGGCGGTCCTGCACAGATGCCATATTTTCTGTCCATCTGCTACAGCAGAGGTGTAGGGAATTCCAGCAAGACCTACATCTCTGCTTTATTGAGCTGGTCAAGGCCTATGATACCATCAGTAGGCCTGGGCTCTGAGTTGTTCTTCGTGCTTTCGGAGTCCCTGACCCTCTGCTCACGATCATTAAGGACCTTCATGATGGTGAGCGGGCCCGGGTAAAACTACGTGGCCGGGAGTCAGAGCCATTCCCGGTACACCTTGGGGTGCGACAGGGATGTCCTCTGGCTCCCACATTATTTAACATCTATTTTGACCACGTAGTTCGTGAAGCCTTCAATAGCTGTACCGGGGGAATCTCCAATTGGTACAGATATAATGGGAGGCTGATCGATGCCCGGGTGCGGTCAAGGGATGGCTCCCTATTGCTCAACCACGCTATGTATGCCGATGATTTGGTAATAGCGGCTCACTCAGAGGAGGAGTTGGAGACGCTGCTGCTGAGACTGGAGCGTGCCACAAAGAGATGGGGCTATACCATCAGCCCCACCAAAACTAAGCACCTGCCTGGGTATTTTGTACCATCGAACACTCCACCCCCACATCTCCAAATCGGTGATGGGGCAGTTGTGGAGAGAGTGGAGAGTTTCCCATACTTGGGCAGTGTGCTTATGACCAGCTCCAGTTTAATAGCAGAGGTCTCACTCCAAATCAGTCGAGCGGCAATATCTTTTCAACAGTTGCGTAATGCTGTGTGGAAGCTACCTGGTCTGTCGCTCCGCACTAAGCTTCAGGTCTTCTCGGCCACGGTCATTCCCTCCCTTCTCTACGCTTGCGATACGTGGATCCCCCTAATGGAACATCTTCGCCGGTTAGAAACATTTAGGTTAGCCTGCCTACGATCCATCCTGGGTTTAACCAGACTGGATTGTGTGAGGAGCTCACAAATCCTTGAAAGATCTGGGCACGGTCCCATCGGTGATCTCCTCTGGCAGGCAAGGCTGCGTTGGCTGGGTCATGTAGCCCGCATGCCCAGCCACCGCATGCCGAAACAGCTTTTGTTCGGCCGGATCGAGGGAGCTAAACGGACGCGGCACAGGCTAGAGAAGGGATGGAGTGATGTGGTACAGGAGGACTTGGAGCTGAGTGGACTTGCCGATGACCGGTACCAGCGGTGTCAAGATCGGCCTCTGTGGAGGAGGCTCGTGAAGGACGCTGCTACTGGGCAGTTGGAGGCAGTCGCCCTCCAACAACAACGGAGGGCGGAGGAGCGGCGCTCACAACAACGAGCGGAGCGCCGGGTGGCTAAAGCACAGCAGGTTGGCACAGTAGGGGGCACAGGTGGTGCATCTCAGTCATCTCAGTCAGTCGACCCGTAGCACCTGGGTCTGCCCCGTGACCTCCTGCCAGCGGGCGTTCGACACTTCACGTAGCCTCAAGGTGCACATGGCCTGGCACAAGCGTTATGGTGACGTCACCGCCACTTAGTGGCGAATGGCGGTTGTTGTTGTTGTGTGTGCCTGTGTGCGTGCGTGTGTGCGTGCGTGTGTGCGTGCGTATGTGTGTATGTGTGTATGTGCGTGTGTGTGTGCGTATGTTTGTATGTATGTATGTGTGTGCATGTGTGTGTGCGTGCGTGTGTGTGTGTGTATGTGTGTGTGCGTGTGTGTGAGCGATAGTGTAGCGGTTAGCGCTACGCTGCGCTATGAACCTGGCGACCCGAGTTCGATCCCCCCTCACCACCGGTGACGATTCTCTGAACCGGTCCTGGGCCTCCTCCCCTAGCCTCAAATGAGTCAACCTGGTGTAGCGGTGTGTAGCGTAGTGAACATCGCTAGCACTGGGGGAAACAAAGGCGGCCGGGCGTGGTTGCTGGCCACCCACCCCCTCTGTGTGTGCCACAGTGCCGGTAGCCTTCACAGGTGGCGCTGCTACTCGCTAACAGCACTTGCCCCTGCAGCCTGTTACAGGCTACAAATTGAAGGTGCGACAATGGTTGGGGGCCGAGGGGGGGGAGCCGAGGGGGGGGGCCGAGGGAGGGGCCGAGGGGGGGGCCGAGGGGGGGAGGGGCCGAGGGGGGGGGGTGGCCGAGGGGGGGGGGGGCCGACACCGCTGTGCCTCTTTGCCGCCGGCCTCGGCCCTTCTCCCGGCCGTGCCGGCGAGCGCCGCCTTCCGGCGATCCGGCGGTCCCTCACCACAGCTCCCGCCCCCCTCCAGCTGAGGAGGAGGCGGAGGAGGAGGAGGAGGAGGTGGGTTGTGGCGTCACCCGAGTTGTCCGGCGTCGCGGCGCGCAGGCAGGCCGAGCGGACGAGGCGGGCGACGACCGGGAGGCCCGGCTGAACGAGGAACTGCTGGAGCTCCGGGAGCTGCCACCAGACCAACGCCACCGGCGTCTCCTGCAGCGTCTGGACGAGACGGAGCGCGACCTGCGGCTCGACCACGACCAGAGGCACGACGGTGTTTGGGAGGGGGGGGGGGTGGGGTGGGGGGGAATCGCACTGCACCCTGGGAATGTTCACAACTGCATCCTGGGAAACGGGGCCTAGGGGTAGGCCCGGAACCCGGGATCGATTCCGCGTCACGACCGCCGCGGAGGCTGGGAGATGTTGACTGCCTCGCCTGGTGTACAGGGGGTCTGTGTCTCTCTCTCATCATCATCATCACAGTGGCTATGAGATGTTAACTACCTCGCCTGGTCTACAGGAGGTCTGTGTGTGTGTCCCTCTCTCTCATCATCATCATCACGGTGGCTAGGAGATGTTAACTACCTCGCGTGGTACACAGGAGGTCTGTGTCTCTCTCATCATCATCATCATCACGGTGGCTATGAGATGTTGACTACCTCGCCTGGTCTACAGGGGGTCTGTGTCTCTCTCATCATCATCATCATCACGGTGGCTAGGGGATGTTGACTACCTCGCCTGGTACACAGGAGGTCTGTGTCTCTCTCTCATCATCATCATCACGGTGGCTATGAGATGTTAACTACCTCGCCTGGTCTACAGGGGGTCTGTGTGTGTGTCTCTCTCTCTCATCATCATCACGGTGGCTAGGAGATGTTAACTACCTCGCGTGGTACACAGGAGGTCTGTGTCTCTCTCATCATCATCACAGTGGCTATGAGATGTTAACTACCACGCCTGGTCTACAGGAGGTCTGTGTCTCTCTCTCATCATCATCATCATCACGGTGGCTATGAGATGTTAACTACCTCGCCTGGTATACAGGAGGTCTGTGTCTCTCTATCATCATCATCACGGTGGCTATGAGATGTTGACTACCTCGCCTGATCTACAGTAGGTCTGTGTCTCTCTCATCATCATCACGGTGGCTATGAGATGTTGACTACCTCGCCTGATCTACAGGAGGTCTGTGTCTCTCTCATCATCATCATCACGGTGGCTATGAGATGTTGACTACCTCGCCTGGTCTACAGGAGGTCTGTCTCTCTCTCTCTCTCATCATCATCATCACGGTGGCTATGAGATGTGAACTACCTCGCTTAGTCTACAGGAGGTCTGTGTCTCTCATCATCATCATGGTGGCTAGGCGATGTTGACTACCTCGCACGTGCACAACAACAACAACAACAACCGCCACTAGGCGGCGTTGACGTCACCGCGGCGCTTACCCCAGGCTACGTGCGAGCGCACACGCCTCACCCGCCGCCCGAAAGCCACGCGTGTGTGACGCGTGTGTGACGCGTGTGTGTGACGCGTGTGTGACACGTGTGTGACGCGTGTGTGACGCGTGTGTGACGCGTGTGTGACGCGTGTGCGACGCGTGTGCGACGCGTGTGTGACGCGTGTGTGACGCGTGTGTGACGCGTGTGTGTGGCGTGTGTGACGCGTGTGTGACGCGTGTGTGACGCGTGTGTGACGCGTGTGTGTGACGCGTGTGCGACGCGTGTGTGACACGTGTGTGACGTGTGTGTGACGTGTGTGTGACGCGTGTGTGACGTGTGTGTGACACGTGTGTGACGCGTGTGTGACGCGTGTGTGACGTGTGTGTGACGCGTGTGTGACGCGTGTGTGACGTGTGTGTGACGCGTGTGTGACGCGTGTGCGACGCGTGTGAGCAGGGTTGCGCTGCTGAAGATGCGTGTCGTGTACAGCGACACGCCCAGCCTGGGCGACGCCGCCAGCCTGGAGCCACAGCTGGCCGAGGTTCAGGCACGCAGCCGGGGCCTCACACACACACGTCGCAGGCTGCAGGTGACCCACCCACCCCCGATGCCTCACCACCATCACCACCACCATCACCACCACCATCACCACCACCATCACCACCACCACCACCATCACCACCACCACCACCACCATCACCACCACCACCACCATCATCACCACCACCATCACCACCACCACCACCATCATCACCACCACCACCATCATCACCACCACCATCACCACCACCACCGTCACCACCACCATCACCACCACCATCACCACCATCACCACCACCATCGCCACCACCGCCACCACCGCCACCACCGCCACCACCGCCACCACCACCACCATCACCACCACCATCACCACCACCACCACCGTCACCACCACCGCCACCACCGCATCATCATCATCATCGTGATGCCGCGTTCACCGGCACCGCTACGTCTCTCGCCCCTCCGTGACTCTCTCATTTTGACCCCCCCTCGACCCCCCCTCGACCCCCCCCTTGACCCCCCTTGACCCCACCCCCCTTGACCCCCGAGCAGCAGCTGCTGGCTGAGACGGAAGGTCGCGACCCCCGGCGGGACCGGCGGACGCAGCGCAGGAGCGTGAGGCCCAGCCAGCCCCCCCCCGTGCAGAGGTGAGCCCCTCCCCCCCACCCCCCGTGCCTGTGTCCGTGCGTCAGTGCGGGGAGCGGTGGTGCAGCGGTTAGCGCCGCGCCGCGCCGCGTTCGCTCCCCGCTCACGGCCGACGCCACCGGTGGCGATTCTCCGAACCGGTTCCTGGGCCTCCTACCCCTAGGTCGACTCGGCCTCAAAAATGGGGTAAACCTGGTGCGGTGCGTAAGCGTTGTGCGTGCGTGTGTGGTGTGTGTGTGTACGTGTGTGTGCGTGTGTGTGTGTGTGCGTGTGTGTGTGTGTGCGTGTGTGTGTGTGTCTACGTGTGTGTGTGTGTCTACGTGTGTGTGTGTGTGTGTACGTGTGTGTGTGTGCGTGTGTGTGTGTACGTGTGTGTGTGTGCGTGTGTGTGTGTACGTGTGTGTGTGTGTACGTGTGTGTATGTGTGTGTGTGTGCGTGTGTGTGTGTGTGTGCGTGTGTGTGTGTGTACGTGTGTGTGTGTGTGTTCGTGTTTGTGTGTGTGTGCGTGTGTGCGTGTGTGTGTGTGCGTGTGTGTGTGTACGTGTGTGTGTGTGCGTGTGTGTGTGTGTTCGTGTGTGTGTGCGTGTGTGTGTATGCCTGTGTGTGTGTGTATTCGTGTGTGTGTACGTGTGTTTGTGCGTGTGTGTGTGTTCGTGTGTGTGTGTGTGTGCGTGTGTGTGTGTGCGTGTGTGTGTGCGTGTGCGTGTGTGTGTGCGTGTGTGTGCGTGTGTGTGTACGTGTGTGTGTGTGTGTGCGTGTGTGTGTGTGCGTGTGTGCGTGCGTGTGTGTGTGTGCGTGTGTGTGCGTGTGTGTGTGTACGTGTGTGTGCGTGTGTACGTGTGTGTGTGTACGTGTGTGTGCGTGTGTGTGTGCGCGTGCGTGTGCGTGTGTACATGTGTGTGCGTGTGTGTGTGTACGTGTGTGTACGTGTGTGTGCGTGTGTGTGTGCGTGTGTGTGCGTGTGTGCGTGTGTGTGTGTACGTGTGTGTGTGCGTGTGTGTGTGTGCGTGTGTGCGTGCGTGTGTGTGTGTGCGTGTGTGTGCGTGTGTGTGTGTGCGTGTGTGTGTGTACGTGTGTGTGCGTGTGTACGTGTGTGTGTGTACGTGTGTGTGCGTGTGTGTGTGCGTGCGTGTGCGTGTGTACATGTGTGTGCGTGTGTGTGTGTACGTGTGTGTACGTGTGTGTGCGTGTGTGTGCGTGTGTGTGCGTGTGTGCGTGTGTGTGTGTACGTGTGTGTGTGCGTGTGTGTGCGTGTGTGTGTGTACGTGTGTGTGTGTGTGTGTGCGTGTGTGTACGTGTGTGTGTGTGTGTGCCGGACGGGCAACTCTGTCGTGGACAGCGCTGTGGGGGGAGATCCAATTTTGATTGGCTCCTCCCCTCATGGCATATGTGTCCACCACAGGGGCTAAACGGGGGCTCTGGACGGGCGCGAGGGGCTGGTAACCCCTCCACCTTCAATTAATTACCACGAAACCACGAATTAAACTGAAATATGTAACAACTAAGCTTGTGCCGGAGGCCCCGGGGGGCCAGGCGTCTATGACGTCTCCTGGCCAAACCCCAATTGGCGGAGCCAGGAGATTGAATACCTACCCTCGGGGCTACTCCAGAAACAACGAAAAGCCACTACGGGTGGCCACGTGGAATGTTCGAACGCTCACTGCAGAGGAGAGGCTGCCACTCCTCTGTCGGGAGCTGGACCGGTACCGCCTGGATCTATGCGGCATTCAGGAGGTCCGGTGGACCGGCTCTGGCTCCTGCCACCATGAGGGGTGGACAGTCCTCTACTCGGGGCAGCAGACTGCCAAACAACAGGGTGTGGGTCTTCTTTTGAACAAAAGAATGAAGGGGGCGTGGGAGCGTGGCGGTGAGGTGTGGGAAGCTGTAAGCCCCAGGCTACTTTGGGCTCGCCTTCCCATCAACCGGAGGCGAGGAATGGTGGTCGTGGTTACTTATGCCCCCACCGAAGATGAACATCCGTGGAGGGATGCAGGCAAAGCCGATGAGTCAGATGCCTTCTATGACCTCCTGTCACAGGTGCTGGCTAAAGTGGCCCCTCGGGATAGAGTCATCATGTTGGGTGACTTCAATGCCCGAGTTGGTCATGATACTGGCACCTGGTCTGGAGTGATTGGAGGGCATGGGCCAGATCAGCTCAATAACAACGGTAGGAGGCTGCTAGATTTTTGTGCAGCCCATGGGCTTGTAATTACCAACACGCTGTTCCGGCATCGGCGCATCCACACAACATCATGGATGCATGCCGGGTCCAAGCAAGAACATCTGCTGGACTACATAGTGACGGACCAGCGAATGCGAGCCCATGTCCTTGACACCAGGACCTACCGTGGAGCTGATCTGCCCTCTGACCATCGACTAGTCATCTGTAAGATGCGCCTGCCATTCTTCCACTCCGGTGGTGGGTGTACACCCAGGACCCCATTCCAACCTAAAGTGGCCTGGTCTCAGTTATCTGATGAAAGTTGCAAGCGAGAATTTCATCATCGCTTGCGGCTGGGATTGGCATCGTCCCCGACTCCTCCTGATGTCGAGGGTAAATGGGCGAGGTTTAGGACTGTGACTCATGCAGCTGCAATGGCTGCTTTGGGTACGCGGTCCAGACCTCCCCAGACACCCTGGATGACAGAGGAGTTGTTCAGGATGGTTGAGAAAAAGCGACAGGCCCACTGTCATCGGCTACAGAATCCCACGTCAGAGAATGAGGAGGCGTACCGCAGCCTTCGCTCGGAGGTTCGGAGAGCCGTGAGGCGCTGCAAGGATGGGTGGTGGTCGCGGGTTGCTGAGGAGATGGAGTCTGCCTCAGTGGCCCGTGATCACAAATCTCTATTTAACTCCATCAAAAAAGTAACCTGCAGCGCCACACCTATTACCATCATTAGGGGAAAAAACGGTGATCCAATTTCCGACCACCAGGAACAGGTTCGCAGATTTGCTGAGCATTTCTGTGAGGTCCTGGGGGAGGGAAAATCCCTCAGCCAGGAAAACATCGTGGCACAAAGTGAGGATGACCCTGCTGAGGCTGCGGTGCCTCAAATATTGGATGAAGTCACCCCCTGTGAGTGGCTGGCTGAGGTGCCATCTGCTGAGGAAGTATTGAAGGCGATCCGGAGTCTGAGACCAGGAAAGGCAGCGGGCAGAGATGATCTCCCAAGCGAAATGCTGAGGGAGGGTGGCGTTTGTGCACAGACTGCCCTATATGACATCATAACAACAGTCTGGACCACTGGACGGGTTCCGCAGGATTGGAAGGATGCCCTGGTGGTCCCCCTTTTTAAGAAGGGGGACCGCACAGACTGTAACAACTACAGGGGCATCTCACTCCTCAGTGTGCCGGGAAAGGTCCTGGCAAGGATTATTCAGCATCGCCTTGCCAGGCACGCTGAGGAGAGGCTTGCGGAGCCCCAATGCGGTTTCAGGAAAGGGCGGTCCTGCACAGATGCCATATTTTCTGTCCGTCTGCTACAGCAGAGGTGTAGGGAATTCCAACAAGACCTACATCTCTGCTTTATTGACCTGGTCAAGGCCTATGATACCATCAGTAGGCCTGGGCTCTGGGTCGTTCTTCGTGCTTTTGGAGTACCTGACCCTCTGCTCACGATCATTAAGGACCTTCATGATGGTGAGCGGGCCCGGGTAAAACTACGTGGCCGGGAGTCAGAGCCATTCCCTGTACACCTTGGGGTGCGACAGGGATGTCCTCTGGCTCCCACATTATTTAACATCTATTTTGACCACGTAGTTCGTGAAGCCTTCAATAGCTGTACCGGGGGAATCTCCATATGGTACAGATATAATGGGAGGCTAATCGATGCCCGGGTGCGGTCAAGGGATGGCTCCCTATTGCTCAACCACGTTATGTATGCTGATGATTTGGTAATAGCTGCTCAGTCAGAGGAGGAGTTGGAGACGCTGCTGCTGAGACTGGAGCGTGCCACTAAGAGGTGGGGCCTTACCATCAGCCCCACCAAAACTAAGCACCTGCCTGGGTATTTTGTACCATCGGACACTCCACCCCCACAACTCCCAATCGGTGATGGGGCAGTTTTGGAGAGAGTGGAGAGTTTCCCATACCTGGGCAGTGTGCTTATGACTGGCTCCAGTTTAACAGCAGAGGTCTCACTCCGAATCAGTCGAGCGGCAATATCTTTTCATCGGTTGCGTAACGCTGTGTGGAAGCTACCTGGTCTGTCGCTCCGCACTAAGCTTCAGGTCTTCTCGGCCACGGTCATTCCCTCCCTTCTCTACGCTTGCGAAACGTGGACCCCCCTAATGGAACATCTTCGCCGGTTAGAAACATTTAGGCTGGCCTGCCTACGATCCATCCTGGGTTTAACCAGACTGGATTGTGTGAGGAGCTCACAAATCCTTGAAAGATCTGGGCAGGGTCCCATCGGTGAGCTCCTCCGGCAGGCAAGGCTGCGATGGCTGGGTCATGTAGCCCCCATGCCCAGCCACCGCATGCCGAAACTGCTTTTGTTTGGCCGGATTGAGGGGGCTAAGCGGGCGCGGCACGGGCTAGAGAAGAGATGGAGTGATGTGGTACAGGAGGACGTGGAGCTGAGTGGACTTGCCGATGACTGGTACCAGCGGTGTCAAGATCGGCCTCTGTGGAGGAGGCTCGTGAAGGATGCTACTGGGCAGTTGGAGGCAGTCGCCCTCCAACAACAACGGAGGGCGGAGGAGCGACGCTCACAACAGCAAGCGGAGCGCCGGGTGGCTAAAGCACAGCAGGTTGGCACAGTAGGGGGCACAGGTGGTGCATCAGCCAGTCATCTCAGTCAGTCGACCCGTGGCACCTGGGTCTGCCCCGTGACCTCCTGCCAGCGGGCGTTCGACGCTTCACGTGGCCTCAGGGTGCACATAGCCTGGCACAAGCGTCGTGGTGACGTCACCGCCACTTAGTGGCGAATGGCGGTTGTTGTTGTTGTTGTGTACATGTGTGTGTGTACGTGTGTGTGTGTGTGTACGTGTGTGTGTGTACGTGTGTGTGTGTGTGACGCAGGAGTGGCGACGGTGCTGGAGACCCCCGGGCTGTGGGCCGGGCGGGCGACTCAGAAGACGACTTTGACGACGACTTTGACGACGACTTTGACGACGACGATGAGGAGAACGAGGCGGCACCGCCCGCAGCATCCCAGTGCCGAGCTCTCTACTCGTTTACCGGTTCGCCACGCTCCTCCACCTCCTCCAACTCATCCTCCGCTACCTCCTCCGCTACCTCCTCCTCCACCTCCTCCTCTACCTCCTCCGCTACCTCCTCCTCCTCCACTTCCTCCACCGCCTCCGCCTCCTCCGCTACCTCCTCCACCTCCTCCACCTCCTCCTCCACCACCTCCTCCACCTCCTCCAACTCATCCTCCGCTACCTCCTCCTCTACCTCCTCTTCCTCCTCCACCTCCTCCTCTACCTCCTCCTCTACCTCCTCCTCCACTTCCTCCACCTCCTCCACCTCCTCCACCTCCTCCAACTCATCCTCCGCTACCTCCTCCTCTACCTCCTCTTCCTCCTCCACCTCCTCCTCTACCTCCTCCTCCACCTCCTCTTCCTCCTCCTCCACTTCCTCCTCCACCTCTTCCACCTCCTCTTCCTCCTCCTCCACCTCCTCCTCCACCACCTCCTCCACCTCCTCCGCATCCACCACCACCGGCTACCACCATCCTTCTCCCCCCCCGTCACACCGTGGCGCCCCACCGCCCTTTGTCGACGCTCGTTCTCACCCCCAGCCCGTCACACCGTGGCGCTGCTACGCGGTGGGGCGGTGGGTCTCACGTGTCTGTCCGTGTGTGTGTCTGTGTGTGTGTCTGTGTGTGTCGTGTGTGTGTCTGTGTGTGTGTGTCTGTGCGTGTGTCTGTGTGTCTGTGCGTGTGTCTGTCTGTGTGTGTGATGTGTGTCTGTGCGTGTGTCTCCATGTGTGTCTGTGTGTGTGTCTGTGCGTGTGTCTGTGTGTGTGATGTGTGTCTGTGCGTGTGTCTGTGTCTGTCCGTGCGTGTGTGTCTGTGTGTCTGTGCGTGTGTCTGTGTGTCTGTGTCTGTCCGTGCGTGTGTGTGTGTGTCTGTGTGTCTGTGCGTGTGTCTGTGCATGTGTCTGTGTGTGTGTGTGTGCGTGTGTCTGTGCGTGCGTCTCCATGTGTCTGTGCGTGTGTCTGTGCGTGTGTCTGTGTGTGTGTCTGTGCGTGTGTGTCTGTGCGTGTGTCTGTGTGTGTGTCTGTGCGTGTGTGTGTGCGTGTGTGTGTCTGTGCGTGCGTCTGTGTGTGTGTCTGTGCGTGTGTGTGCGTGTGTGTGTCTGTGCGTGTGTGTGTGCGTGTGTGTGTCTGTGTGTGTGTGTGTGCGTGTGTGTGTCTATGCGTGTGTCTGTGCGTGTGTCTGTGTGTCTGTGCGTGTGTCTGTGTGTGTCTGTGCGTGTGTCTGTGCGTGTGTCTGTGCGTGTGTGTGTCTGTGCGTGCGTCTCCATGTGTGTCTGTGCGTGTGTCTGTGCGTGTGTCTCCATGTGTGTCTGTGTGTGTGTCTGTGCGTCTCCATGTGTGTCTGTGTCTGTGCGTGTGTGTGCGTGTGTGTGTCTGTGCGTGTGTGTGTGCGTGTGTGTGTCTGTGTGTGTGTGTGTGCGTGTGTGTGTCTATGCGTGTGTCTGTGCGTGTGTCTGTGTGTCTGTGCGTGTGTCTGTGTGTGTCTGTGCGTGTGTCTGTGCGTGTGTCTGTGCGTGTGTGTGTCTGTGCGTGCGTCTCCATGTGTGTCTGTGTGTCTGTGCGTGTGTCTGCGTGCGTGCAGCGGACAGCGAGGACTCCCTGAGCGTGGTGGAGGGCGAGATCCTCTTCGTGGTGGCGAGCGACGGGGGCGACGGCTGGACCCGCGTGCGCCGCGGCTCCGACGAGGGCTACGTCCCCACCTCCTACATCGAGCTGCACGCCGGCACCGGTGGCACCGGCGGCACCGGCACCGGCGGCGACGGCGGCGCCGGTGGTGCCGGCGGCGACGCGGCCATCACCTACATCTAGCGCCCCCCCCACCCCCACCCCCACCCCCACCTCTCCCCCGGCTTTTGCCGAACCTTTTTCCCCGGGGGGGCGGTGAGCGCCGGCAGACGGCGGCACGCGGCGGTCCTCGCTCGGCCTGCGAGGGGCCGACGGGGCCGACGGGGCCGACGGGGCCCACGGGGCCGCCTGCGGGAGAGGGAACCCTCGGAGGCCGCCGGCGATCGGTGCCGTCGGTGGGCGCGGTGGGGGGGTGGGTGCAGTGGAGGCGGTGGAGGCGGTGGAGGCGGTGAAGGCGGTGTAGGCGGTGAAGGCGGTGTGTGTGTGTGGGGGGTGTGTATGTGTGGGGGGTGTGTATGTGTGTGTGTGTGATATTCTGGATGGGGGAGACTTGGAGCTGTCCGCGTGTCACGATGTTGTTGCTCTCTGCTGCTGCTGCTGCTGCCGTCGCCGCGCTCGGCCCGGCTCCGTCGCCACGTGCCGGATCGGCGCTCGCGGGGGGGCCTCTTTGCTGTGACGGCAGTCACCGAGTCGTGTCTGTGTCTGTGCGTGTCTGTGTGTGTGTGCGTGTCTGTGTGTGTGCGTCTGTGCGTGCGTGTCTGTGTGTGCGTGTCTGTGTGTGTCTGTGTGCGTCTCTGTGTCTGTGCGTGTCTGTGTGTGCGTCTTTGCGTGCGTGTCTGTGTGTGCGTGTCTGTGTGTGCGTGTCTGTGTGTGCGTGTCTGTGTGTGCGTGTCTGTGTGTGCGTGTCTGTGTGTGTCTGTGTGTGCGTGTCTGTGCGTGCGTGTCTGTGCGTGTCTGTGTGTGCGTGTCTGTGCGTGTCTGTGTGTGCGAGTCTGTGCGTATCTGTGTGTCTGTGTGCATGTCTGTGTCTGTGCGTGTCTGTGTGCGTGTGTGTGCGTGTGTGCGCGTGTCTGTGCGTGCGTGTCTGTGCGTGTGTGCGCGTGTGTGTGTGGTTGCCCGCCAAAGGTATTGGGAACTCGCATTCGGTCAGCAGTGCAGGGGAGAGAGAGAGAGAGAGGAGATGTCTCCTCCTCCCCACTCCCCTGTTGTCCGAAGTCGCTGAGTTATTAATTTTTTGCAATAAAGATTTGGTGATGAACTTTGCGGGCACCCCGTGACTTGAGGAACCGTGCGTGGTGGATGGGTGGGTGAGCGGGGGGGTGGGGTGGGTGGGGGGTGGATGAGTGGGTGAGTGAGTGGGTGGGTTGGTGAGTCGATGGGTGGGTGTGTGGGCGAATGGGTAGGTGAGTGGATGGGTGGGTGAGTGGATAGGTGGGTGAGTGGATGGGTGAGTGGGTGTGTGAGTGGGTGTGTGAGTGGGTCTGTGGGTGAGTGGGTGGGTAGGTGAGTGGGTCTGTGGGTGAGTGGGTGGGTAGGTGAGTGGGTCTGTGGGTGAGTGGGTCTGTGGGTGAGTGGGTCTGTGGGTGAGTGGGTCTGTGGGTGAGTGGGTCTGTGGTTGAGTGAGTGGGTGAGTGAGTGGATGGGTGGGTGAGTGGGTGGATAGGTGGGTGGGCGAATGGGTAGATAGGTGGGTGGGTGGGTGAGTGAGTGGGTCTGTGGGTGGGTGGCTTGGGTGTAATTCTCAGGGGGCCAATGCGGGATGGTGGACGGGCATGTCTGTGCCAATGTTGAACTTCGTGATATGAAGTTGTCGTGACCTGCAAAGGATCCCTTTCCGTTGAAGCTCTTTCGGTAAAGTCACGTAAGGTGGAAAAAAATGAAATACATTTAATCACGACGTTCCGATCGCAACGCAAGCAATCCTCATCAGGTGTGCCAACCGCGGCAGGGATTTTGTATTTTAATTCATACTTTAGTGGGAGAGATGCCAGAGTTAGGGCAGTTAAACGACTCGGAGAGTAGCTCCCACGATATGGTTTTCTCCGAGACCAAGGTGGCTCTGCAAGCCATCTGGCTACCGTCAGAGATGTGTCCATGAAGCCCATCCCGATATCTAAACCATTAAGGCGTAACGTCAACCGATGAGATCTACGGATACAAATTGAGCAATCATTCGGACGGACGTTCTTAGCGCCGAGTAAAATGTAAACGTCCGTAGTAGTTGCGTCTTATTCACCGGGTGCCCAGTCTATTTTACCGCGTTAACTGCGTCGTCGGGCAGTTCAATTTCGATCGGAAGCTTTCGTGACTGCAAGGATTCATCTCCTTCGGTTCTTCCGGTGAAGTCACCACCGCGTAGAATGAGAATGAAATGATAAAATAACGCGGTAAAATTCTCACGACGTTTCGGCCACAGCGAAAAGCGGCCGTCTTCAGGCGAAAGGAACAACCTGTCGGGACGACAGACATTGGGAAGCTCTGCCGTCCCGACAGGCCTGTTCCTTTATGAGACCTCCTTTGCCAGTAACAAGATATAGGAATAGGTTTTTACCCTTTTAACTGGCACAAAAACTGACACCTTTATTCAAGGCATCGTGTTTGCAATAACCACAACACAAGCAGTCAAAATGCAAACAAAAAGAGACAACTCTGATAATAATATTGGCACTGTCCTTGAATTTGATTGGTCCATACCCGAGACGGTTTTTTTAGAGCCCTTTAGTCTCCATTGGTGTTGGACCAGAAGACGCCAAAAGACTAGGCTCTAAGAAAAGCTGTCTCGGGTGTGGACCAATCAAATTCAAGGACTGCATATTATCAGAGTTGTCTTTTTTCTTTGCATTTTGACTGCTTGTGTTGTGGTTATTGCAAACATGATGCCTTGAATAAAGGTGTCAGTTTTTGGGCCAGTTAAAAGGGTAAAACCTATTACTATATCTTGTTTATGGCAAAGGAGGTCTCATAATGTAAATGCTCACCCCGAGCCCTCAATACTCTGATAGTGCGCTGTTTTTGAGTTGTACGCCTTTTGACGTCTTCTGGTCCAACACCAGTGGAGACTAGGCTCTAAGAAAAGCCGTCTCGGGTGTGGACCAATCAAATTCAATGACAGTGCCAATATTATTATCAGAGTTGTCTTTTTTTGTTTGCATTTTGACTGCTTGTGTTGTGGTTATTGCAAACATGATGCCTTGAATAAAGGTGTCAGTTTTTGTGCCGGTTAAAAGGGTAAAAACCTATAACCTAGGTCAGTTCCTTTCGCCTGAAGACGGCCGCTTGCGTTGTGGCCGAAACGTCGTGAGAATTTTACCGCGTTATTTTATTATTTTACTGTCATTCTACGCGGCGACCTTACCGAAAGAACCAAAGGAGACGTCCAGCGGTCGCGGCTTATTTTGCCGTGAGCGCCATCGTCAATTACGTCGCTTATTTTGCTCTCAGCGTCCCTGGGCAAGGCTCTTTCCTCTCCCCATTCGTCCGTCCGTCCCCGTACCCCCCCCCCCCGCCCCCCACGCGCCCCCCACTCCGACTTATTTAACCGCCCTAAACTCTGGCTTCTCACACACCTGATGACGAGTGCTTGCGTTGCGATCTAAACGGCGTGCTTGAACATTTTATTTTGTTTGTCCACCCGTGCGCGACTTCACCGAAGGAACTTTCAGCGAATACGTTGAAGCTTGGAAACAAACCTCATTTGCCAGTAACAAAATATGATAATTGGGTGGTTTTTTTTTACCCTTTTATCTGGCAACAAAACTGACACCTTTTTTATACAAGGAGTCGTGTTTACATTGACCACAATACCTGCGGTCGGAACGCAAACAAAAAACAACAACTCTGATAATGTATGTGGCACTGTCCTTGAAATTGATTGGTCCACACCCGAGACAGCTTTCTTTAGAGGCCTCGTCTCACGTTGGTGTTGGACCAGAAGACGCCAAAAGGCGCACACAACTCAAAGGCAAAGCACCATCAGAGTATGAGAACTCGGGGCCAAAGCATTTACACCACCATTGGAAACCTCATTTGCCCATAACAAAATATGATAATCGGTTTTTTACCCTTTTATCTGGCAACAAAACTGACACCTTTTTTATACAAGGAGTCATGTTTACATTGACCACAATACCTGCGGTCGCAACGCAAACACAAAACAACAACTCTGATAATGTATGTGGCACTGTCCTTGAAGTTGATTGGTCCACACCCGAGACAGCTTTCTTTAGAGGCCTCGTCTCACGTTGGTGTTGGACCAGAAGACGCCAAAAGGCGCACAACTCAAAGGCAATGGCACCATCAGAGTATGAGAGCTCGGGGCCAAAGCATTTACACCACCATTGGAAACCTCATTTGCCAGTAACAACATATAATTGTTTGTTTTACCCTTTTATCTGTCAGTTTTGTCGCCAGATAAAAGGGTTAAAAAAAAACAATGATCACGTTGAAGCTTCTTTCTCGCCGCGCGTGGGACTAGCGCGCAGTGCAACGCCAACGGCAGCCACGGAAACCGGCATCGTCTCTCAGTCTCTCAGTGTCTCTCAGTCTCTCAGTCTCAGTCTCTCGCGTTTTTATTTGACGAGTCCGGGGCGCCTCCGATGGCGACACAGCGCCGTACGGGACGACGACGACGACGACGACACGGTCGCGAAAGAAGACGGGCAATTGCAGGCTTTGAAACATAATTACAGACGCGTGCGTGCGTGTGAGTGCGTGAGTGTGTGTGAGTGCGTGTGTGTGTGCGCGTGTGCGTGAGTGCGTGTGTGTATGTGTGCGTGCGTGTGAGTGCGTGTATGGGTGCGTGCGTGTGTGCGTGCGAGTGTGTGTGTGTGTGCACGCACGGGTTGATGCGCACGGGAGGGCAGCATTTGGAGCAGAACATTGGGGAGGGAGAGGAGAGAGGGGAGAGAGGGAGGGAAAGAGAGAGGGAGGTGGGGAGGGAGGGAGGGAGGCGGGGCGAGATGACGAGTATGAGCACCATCAATACACATAGAACTTTTAATTTTTTTTTATATATAACAAAGTACCGTAAATCGTTAAATTAAACTCGCCAAGGGCCTTGCCCGCTAAGGGGAGTGCAGGGTGGGTGACCCGCAGGGCGTCGCAGCCACTATAAGGAGGAGGCCGTTGCCACCAACCCCACAACCCACCCACCACCGCCCACAACCACCCCACAGACGTACCACTACTACTACTTCTTCAACAATTCTTTAAAAAAAAATTACGTTTTGAAAATCACACCCCACGCCCCCGAAGCTGCTGGTGGCTGCTTGTTGTTGTTGTGGTTTTGTTGTAAATCACCAGCGGCGAAACGTCACGGCGTTTGTAAATTGTTCAATGTTGCCACACGCGCTCACCGGTTGCGGGCTGAACTCGTAAACAAACCCTTCGTGGATTTGGCTTTGCCGGTTGGGTGGTGGCTGGGACGGCGGCGGTGATGGTTAGAGTGGCGGGTTTAATAACAAAACATTTACCACCCCCCCCGGCCCCCCAAAAATATATATATTTTCAGTAACATCGGTCGCGAAAGGAAGGCCCCATGAACTTCTTGTTCTGCGGACGGATTGGAGACGACGCCGCATCGTCTTTGTCTTCTCTGCGCCCACTTGACCCTTTTTATTTAGCAGGCGTGGGTGGTGGTGGTGGTGGTGATGGCAAGGTGGGCAGGGTTGAGGTGGGTTGGGTCAAGGGGGCAGTGTGTGTGTGTCTGTGTGGGAAGCAGCAGGAGCAGTAGGAAAAGGGGGGGTATGTTGTATAGATTTCATCGTCTTCCGCATGCTCCGTCGTCGTGGTGGTGGTGGTGGTGGACAGGGTTGAGGTGGGTTGGGTCAAGGTGGCAGTGTGTGGGTGTGTGTGTGTGTGGGAAGCAGCAGGAGCAGTAGGAAAAGGGGGGGTATGTTGTATAGATTTCATCGTCTTCCGCATGCTCCGTCGTCGTGGTGGTGGTGGTGGACAGGGTTTTGCGGTTCGTATGGAACCTGTTTGGCGGATGACTCTTAGCACCACCGACGCTTAGCACCACCACCACCAGCACCACCACCAGCACCACCACCAGCACCACCACCAGCAGCACCACTGGGCGCTAGCCCGCAACACAGCGGATACCCCTCCCACCCCGGGCAGGGGAGACTTCGCACGACACGGAGGGGTGACGGTGGTGGAAGGCTGCTCTGGCTATGGCTGTGACAATGAGTTCGCGAGATGGACGTGAGCGGGAGTGGGGGGCGAGGTGAAGAGGGGGGTGGTGGGGGGGGGGGGGGGGTTGGTGGGCAGGGGGGGGGGGGGAGGGGGGGGAGGACGGCCGCTCTAACTTCAAGGGGGCTATGTAACAAAAAGCTCGTCAAGGCAAAGTTGGGAAGCAACCGAAACCGATAAATTTCAAGTGGTGTGGATTACAAATCGGGGGGGGCCCCCCCCCCCCGCACCCCGTGACCACCCAGGGGGAGCTGACACCGGGCCGGGCCCTGGCGTGGAGGCAACCGATCGGCAGTGCCCCCCCCCACCACCACCACCACCACCACCCCCCACACACCACCCGGGGTCTCTCCACGTTGAGAGAGTGGGGGGGGGGGGGGAGGCCTCCCTTTACCGCACTGCCACCGCCGCCGCTCTCTCTCCGTGCCGACCGCGTGGCAAGAACGGCCGACGCAACCCCCGCCGGGTTAAGGGGATCGTAGGAGGGGGGGGGTCCCTCTTCACGGCCCCCCACCCCGCCACCCGCTAGCCCTGGAAGCAGACGGGCCCCAGGGTGAATCCGAAGCGCTGCGAGGGCTCGCCGAAGTCGCTGATCATCACGTCGCTCAGCGGCAGCAGCTCGACGCGCGGAGTTCGCACACTCAGCACCGAGCGCTCGGAGCCCTTGCGGAACTGCGCAGGGACGCGCGCGCGGACACACGCACGGACACAGACGCACACAGACAGACAGACACACAGACACACACACGGACACACACACACACGTACAGACACACACAGACACACACACACGTACACAGACACACACATGTACGCACACGGACACACACACACACACGTACACACACACACACACGGACACACACACGTACACACACACAGACAAACACGTACACACACGGACACAGACACACACGTACACACACACAGACACACGCACACACAGACACACGTACACACACACAGACACACATACACGCACACACGGACACAGACACACACACACACATAGACACACACACACGGACACAGACACACACGTACACACACACAGACACGCACGGTGATCGTGACGTCACTCGAGCGGGCAGCAGCAGCTCCACGCACGGAGACGAAGAGGCGGCGGCGGCGATTGGCACAGCAAACGACACGCGGTGAGACACGTGGGGTGACACGTGGGGTGACACGTGGGGTGACACGTGGGGTGACACGCGGTGAGACACGTGGGGTGACACGTGGGGTGACACGTGGGGTGACACGCGGTGAGACACGTGGGGTGACGCGGGGTGACACGTGGGGTGACACGCGGTGAGACACGTGGTGGGACACGTGGTGAGACACGTGGGTGACACGTGGGGTGACACGCGGTGAGACACGGTGAGACACGGTGAGACACGTGGGGTGACACGCGGTGAGACACGTGGGGTGACACGTGGGTAACACGCGGTGGGACACGCGGGGTGAGACACGTGGGTGAGACACGTGGGTGGGACAAGCGGTAAGACACGTGGGTGTGACACGCGGGGTGAGACACGTGGTGGGTCACGTGGGTGGGACACGTGGGTGGGTCACGTGGGGTGACACGTGTGTGGGTCACGTGGGTGAGACACGTGGGTGGGTCACGTGGGGTGACACGTGTGTGGGTCACGTGGGTGAGACACGTGGGTGGGTCACGTGGGGTGACACGTGTGTGGGTCACGTGGGTGAGACACGTGGGTGGGACACGTGGGGTGGGACACGTGGTGGGTCACGTGGGTGGGACACCGTACCGAGCACCCATCGTGCAGCGCCTGTACGTAGCGCGCGTTGCTCTCGCGCGAGATCTCCTCCTCGTTGGCGGCGAGGAAGCGCAGCGCCTGGGCGGTGCCGGGGGCGGTGCCGGGGGCGGTGCCGGGGGCGGTGCCGGGGGGGGCGGCGGCGGCCGGGGCGCCCCCCCCGACGCTGCCGAGGCCGCGCGGTGCCCCCCACGCCACGGAGCGCTGGCACAGGTAGGTGAAGTTCTGGCGCGCCGTGGCGCTCAGCAGGCGCAGGAAAGTCATCTGCACCGAGGGCAGCGAACCGCCCTCCGCGTCCACGTAGGCCAGCTGTGTAGCACACGCACACACGTACACACGCACACGCACACACACACACACACGCACACACGTACACACACACACGCACACACGCACACACACACGCACACACGCACACACACACGCACACACAGACGCACACATGCACGCGTGCACACACACACAGACACGCACACACACACGCGCGCACACACACACGCACACACACGCGCGCACGCAGACACAAAAGATCAAAGATCCCCCGTATAGCCTGTAACAGACTGTAGGGGCAAGTGCTGTTAGCGAGCACCTATGAAGGCCGGAACGGTACACGAGGGGGTGGGTGGGTGGCCAGCACCACGCCCGACCGCCTTTGTCTCCCTAGTCGCGATGTTTACACACCGCACCAGGTACTAATTTTATGCCGAGTCGACCTAGGGGAGGCCCGGGTCCGGTTAAGGCAATCGTCACTGGTGTTGGCCGTGAGCGGGAATCGAACCCGGGTCGCCAGGTTCATAGCGCAGCGTAGCGCTAACCGCTACACTACCGCTCACGCACACACACGCACACACACACGCACAAAGACAAGGGTCTCCCGTGTAGCCTTTGCAGACTGTAGGGGCAAGTGCTCTTAAGCGAGCAGCAGCACCTATGATTGCTACTGGCACAGCGGCACACGAGGGGGTGGGGTTGCCAGCACCACGCCCGGCCGCCTTTGTCTCCCCAGCGGCGATGTTTGCTACACACCGCTACACCAGGTACTCGTGTGAGGCCGAGTCGACCTAGGGGAGGCCCAGGACCGGCCCAGAGAATCGTCACCGGCGGTGTTGAACGTATAGCCTTCACAGACTGTTGCACACACGCACAGTGAATGATGTCCCCAGCGCCTATTACATGTGTGGGCGTGTGTGTAGTAGTAGGCATGTCTGTGTGTGTGTGTGAGCATGCGCGTGCATGTGTGTGAGGCTTGTCTGTGTGTGTGTGAGCGTGCATGTGTGTGAGGCGTGTCTGTGTGTGTGTGAGCGTGCGCGTGTGTGAGGCGTGTCTGTGTGTGTGTGTGAGCGTGCATGTGTGTGAGGCGTGTGTGTGTGTGTGTGAAGTAAGTCCCAGGCTACTCTGGGATCGCCTCCCCATCAACGAGAGGCGATGAGTAGTGGTGGTGGTTTCTTACTCCCACACCGAAGACAACATCAGTGGCAGAATGGAGACAAGGCCGATGAGTCGGATGCCTTCTATGACCTCCTGTCACAGGTGCTGGCTAAAGTGGCCCCTCGGGATACAGTCATCTTGTTGGGTGACTTCAATGCCCGAGTGGGTCATGATGCTGGCCCCTGGTCTGGAGTGATTGGAAGGCATGGGCCAGATTAGCTCAATAACTATGGTATGAGTGCAAGACTTCTGTGCAGCCCATGGGCTTGTAATTACCAACACGCTGTTCCGGCATCGGCGCATCCACACAACATCATGGATGCACGCCGGGTCCAAGCAAGAACATCTGCTGGACTATATAGTGACGGACCAGCAGATGCGAGCCCATGTCCTTGACACCAGGATCTACCGTGGAGCTGATCTGCCCTCTGACCATCGACTTGTCATCTGTGAGATTTGCCTGCCATTCTTTCACTCCGGTGGTGGGTGTACACCCAGGAGCCCATTCAAACCCACAATGGCCTGGTCTCAGCTAGTTGATGAAAGTTGCAAGCAGGAATGTCAACATCGCTTTCAGCTGGGGTTGGCATCGTCCCCCACTCCTTCTGATGATCAAGGGAAATGGGTGAAGTTCAGGACTGTGACTCATGCAGCTGCAATGGCTGCATTGACTACGCAGTCCAGACCCCTCCAGAGACCCTGGCTGACGGAGGAGGTGTTTCGGCTGGCTGAGAGAAAACAACAGGCCCACTCCCCCAGTCTTCAGCATCCCACGTCTGAGAATGAGGAGGCTTACCGCAGCCTTCGCTCGGAGGTTCGGAGAGCCGTGAGGCGCTGCAAGAGATGGAGTCTGCCTCAATCGCCCACAATCACCAATCACTCTTTAACTCCATCAAAAAAAGTTAACTTGCAGCATCTCACCCATCGGCATCCTTAAGGGAAGGAGCGGTGATCCAATCAGACACCGCCAGCAACGGGAGTGCAAGTTTGCAGAGAGTTTCTGTGAGGTCTTGGTGGGAGGGGGAATTCCTTCGGTACGTCTGCAGAGCGTTTCTGTGAGGTCTTGGTGGGAGGGGGAATTCCTTCGGTACGTCTGCAGAGCGTTTCTGCGAGATTTTGGTGGGAGGGGGAATTCCTTCGGTACGTCTGCAGAACGTTTCTGTGAGGTCTTGGTGGGAGAGGGAATTCCTTCGGTACGTCTGCAGAGCGTTTCTGCGAGATTTTGGTGGGAGGGGGAATTCCTTCGGTACGTCTGCAGAACGTTTCTGTGAGGTCTTGGTGGGAGGGGGAATTCCTTCGGTACGTCTGCAGAGAGTTTCTGCGAGATCTTGGTGGGAGGGGGAATTCCTTCGGTACGTCTGCAGAACGTTTCTGTGAGGTCTTGGTGGGAGGGGGAATTCCTTCGGTACGTCTGCAGAGCGTTTCTGCGAGATTTTGGTGGGAGGGGGAATTCCTTCGGTACGTCTGCAGAACGTTTCTGTGAGGTCTTGGTGGGAGAGGGAATTCCTTCGGTACGTCTGCAGAGCGTTTCTGCGAGATTTTGGTGGGAGGGGGAATTCCTTCGGTACGTCTGCAGAACGTTTCTGTGAGGTCTTGGTGGGAGGGGGAATTCCTTCGGTACGTCTGCAGAGAGTTTCTGCGAGGTCTTGGTGGGAGGGGGAATTCCTTCGGTACGTCTGCAGAGAGTTTCTGCGAGATCTTGGTGGGAGGGGGAATTCCTTCGGTACGTCTGCAGAACGTTTCTGTGAGGTCTTGGTGGGAGGGGGAATTCCTTCGGTACGTCTGCAGAGAGTTTCTGCGAGATTTTGGTGGGAGGGGAATTCCTTTGGTACGTCTGCAGAGCGTTTCTGCGAGGTCTTGGTGGGAGGTGAATTCCTTCGGTACGTCTGCAGAGAGTTTCTGCGAGGTCTTGGTGGGAGGGGAATTCCTTCGGTACGTCTGCAGAGCGTTTCTGCGAGATCTTGGTGGGAGGGGAATTCCTTCGGTACGTTTGCAGAACGTTTCTGCGAGGTGTTGGTGGGAGGGGAATTCCTGCGGTACGTCTGCAGAGAGTTTCTGCGAGGTCTTGGTGGGAGGGGGAATTCCTTCGGTACGTCTGCAGAGCGTGTCTGCGAGGTCTTGGTGGGAGGGGAATTCCTTCGGTACGTCTGCAGAGCGTTTCTGCGAGATCTTGGTGGGAGGGGGAATTCCTTCGGTACCAGACAACATCATGGGACAAGGTGGGCACGTCCCCGCTAGGGCTCCGTTGCCTCAAACATTGGCAGAAGTATTCATAACAAAGGTTTTTGGGTGAGATCGCATTATTTATAAATGTGTCGTAACCCTCCACCACCCGACACGGCCAAACAGTAAAAAAATGTGTCACGTTCACAAAGGACAAATAGTTCACTATTTTAGCCCACCGGTGTGTTGATAACACACATTACAACTAATCACTAATCTACAACTCATTACTAATCATAACCATTGACTGATTACCAATCGATTACATAATTACAATACCCCCCCCCGCCTCAAATCACTGCACCTGATATGAGTTAAATGATGACGTCACCCTGCTGCTCTATTTAAGACCGGGAGCAAGTGGAGAGTGCTTCACCATTCTGGCGAATTGCCCGATGATGCTGGATGTAATTACCAGCGAAACGTCGTACTCAAATTTTAAATGATGTTGAATCACTCTTCAACACACCGGTGGGCTAAAGTAGTGAACTATTTGTCCTTTGTAAACGTGACACATTTTTTACTGTTTGGCCGTGTCGGGTGGTGGAGGGTTACGACACATTTATAAATAACGCGATCCAACCCAAAAACCTTCATTATGAATAATGTTGGTCGCGAAAGACTACGTGTTAAATTGGCAGAAGTAGCCACCCCTTCCGAGTGGTCGACTGAGGTGCCATCTGTTGAGGAAGTACTGAAGGCCATCCGGAGTCTGAGACCAGGAAAGGCAGCGGGCAGAGATGATCTCCAAAGCGAAATGCTGAGGGAGGGTGGCGTTTGTGCACAGACTGCCCTATATGACATCATAACAACGGTCTGGACCACTGGACAGGTTCCGCAGGATTGGAAGGATGCCCTGGTGGTCCCCCTCTTTAAGAAGGGGGACCGCACAGACTGTAACAACTACAGGGGCATCTCGCTCCTCAGTGTGCCGGGAAAGGTCCTGGCATAGATTATTCAGCATCGCCTTGCCAGGCACGCTGAGGAGAGGCTTGCGGAGCTCCAATGCGGTTTCAGGAAAGGGCGGTCCTGCACAGATGCCATATTTTCTGTCCGTCTGCTACAGCAGAGGTGTAGTGAATTCCAATAAGACCTACATCTCTGCTTTATTGACGTGGTCAAGGCCTATGATACCATCAGTAGGCCTGGGCTCTGGGTTGTTCACGATCATTAAAGACCTTCATGATGGTGAGCGGGCCCAGGTAAAACTACGTGACCGGGAGTCCGAGCCATTCCCTGTACACCTTCGGGTGCGACAGGGATGTCCTCTGGCTCCCACATTATTTTACATCTATTTTGACCACGTAGTTCGTGAAGCCTTTAATAGCTGTACCGGGGGAATATCCATATGGTACAGATATAATGGGAGGCTGATCGATGCCCGGGTGCGGTCAAGGGATGGCTCCCTATTGCTCAACCACATTATGTATGCCGATGATTTGGTAATAGCTGCTCATTCAGAGGAGGAGTTGGATACGCTGCTGCTGAGACTGGAGCGTGCCACTAAGAGGTGGGGCATTACCATCAGCCCCACCAAAACTAAGCACCCGCCTGGGTATTTTGTACCATCGGACACTCCACCCCCACAACTCGCAATCGGTGATGGGGCAGTTGTGGAGAGAGTGGAGAGTTTCCCATACCTGGGCAGTGTGCTTATGACCGGCTCCAGTTTAACAGCAGAGGTCTCACTCCGAATCAGTCGAGCGGCAATATCTTTTCATCGGTTACGTAACGCTGTGTGGAAGCTACCTGGTCTGTCGCTCCGCACTAAGCTTCAGGTCTTCTCGGCCACGGTCATTCCCTCCCTTCTCTACGCTTGCGAAACGTGGACGCCCCTAATGGAACATCTTCGACGGTTAGAAACATTTAGGCTGGCCTGCCTACGATCCATCCTAGGTTTAACCGGACTGGATTGTGTGAGGAGCTCACAAATCCTTGAAAGATCTGGGCAAGGTCCCATCGGTGAGCTCCTCCGGCGGGCAAGGCTGCGATGGCTGGGTCATGTAGCCCACATGCCCAGCCACCGCATGCCGAAACAGCTTTTGTTCGGCCGGATCGAGGGGGCTAAACGGGCACGGCATGGGCTAGAGAAGAGATGGAGTGATGTGGTACAGGAGGACGTGGAGCTGAGTGGACTTGCCGATGACTGGTACCAGCGGTGTCAAGATCGGCCTCTGTGGAGGAGGCTCGTGAAGGACGCTACTGGGCAGTTGGAGGTAGTCGCCCTCCAACAACAACGGAGGGCGGAGGAGCGACGCTCACAACAACGAGCGGAGCGCCGGGTGGCTAGGGCACAGGAGGTTGGCACAGTAGGGGGCACAGGTGGTGCATCAGCCAGTCATCTCAGTCATCTCAGTCAGTCGACCTGTGGCACCTGGGTCTGCCCCGTGACCTCCTGCCAGCGGGCGTTCGACACTTCACGTGGCCTCAAGGTGCACATGGCCTGGCACAAGCGTTGTGGTGACGTCACCGCCACTTAGTGGCGAATGGAGGTTGTTGTGTGTGCCTGTGTGTGAGTGTGTATATGTGCCTGTGTGAGTGTGCGCGTACCATCCTGCCGGTGCCGAATTCACTATACCACGTCCCTGGTTTCTCGTGCAGCCATTGGCCCATCTTGGCCTGGAAAAGAGGGCACAGGACACAGGGGTATTTACACTTCACAACACAGGGGTATTGACACTTCACAACACAGGGGTATTGACACTTCACAACACAGGGGTATTGACACTTCACAACACAGGGGTATTGACACTTCACAACACAGGGGTATTAACACTTCACAACACATGACACAGGGGTATTGACACTTCACAACACAGGGGTATTGACACTTCACAGCACAGGGGTATTGACACCTCACAACACAGGGGTATTGACACTTCACAACACATGACACAGGGGTATTGACACTTCACAGTACAGGGTATTGACACTTCACAACAAAGGACACAGGGGTATTGACACTTCACAGTACAGGGGTATTGACACTTCACAACACAGGGGTATTGATACTTCTCAGCACAAGGGTATTGACACTTCACAACACAGGGGTAATGACACTTCACAACACAGGGGTATTGACACTTCACAACACAGGACACAGGGGTATTGACACTTCACAGCACAGGGGTAATGACACTTCACAACACAGGGGTATTGACACTTCACAGCACATGGGTATTGACACTTCACAGGACACAGGGGTATTGACACTTCACAACACAGGACACAGGGGTATTGACACTTCACAACACAGGGGTATTGACACTTCACATCACAGGGGTATTGACACTTCACAGGACACAGGGGTATTGACACTTCACAGCACAGGACACAGGGGTATTGACACTTCACATCACAGGACACAGGGGTATTGACACTTCACAGCACAGGACACAGGGGTATTGACACTTCACAACACAGGGGTATTGACACTTCACAACACAGGGGTATTGACACTTCACAACACAGGGGTATTGACACTTCACAGCACAGGGGTATTGACACTTCACAACACAGGGGTATTGACACTTCACAGCACAGGACACAGGGGTATTGACATTTCACAACACAGGGGTATTGACACTTCACAAAACAGGTGAATTGACACTTCACAGGACACAGGGGTATTGACACTTCACAGCACAGGACACAGGGGTATTGACACTTCACAACACAGGACACAGGGGTATTGACACTTCACAGCACAGGGTATTGACACTTCACAACACAGGTGAATTAACACTTCACAACACAGGACACAGGGGTATTGACACTTCACAACACAGGAGTATTGACACTTCACATCACAGGTGAATTAACACTTCACAACACAGGACACAGGGGTATTGACACTTCACATCACAGGGGTATTGACACTTCACAACACAGGACACAGGGGTATTGACACTTCACAACACAGGGGTATTGACACTTCACAACACAGGGGTATTGACACTTCACAACACAGGACACAGGGGTATTGACACTTCACAGCACAGGACACAGGGGTATTGACACTTCACAACACAGGGGTATTGACACTTCACAACACAGGACACAGGGGTATTGACACTTCACAGGACACAGGGGTATTGACACTTCACAACACAGGGGTATTGACACTTCACAGGACACAGGGGTATTGACACTTCACAACACAGGGGTATTGACACTTCACAACACAGGACACAGGGGTATTGACACTTCACAACACAGGGGTATTGACACTTCACAACACAGGGGTATTGACACTTCACAACACAGGGGTATTGACACTTCACAACACAGGACACAGGGGTATTGACACTTCACAACACAGGGGTATTGACACTTCACAACACAGGACACAGGGGTATTGACACTTCACAACACAGGGGTATTGACACTTCACAACACAGGGGTAATGACACTTCACAACACAGGGGTATTGACACTTCACAACACAGGGGTATTGACACTTCACAACACAGGGGTATTGACACTTCACAACACAGGACACAGGGGTATTGACACTTCACAACACAGGGGTATTGACACTTCACATCACAGGACACAGGGGTATTGACACTTCACAGCACAGGGGTATTGACACTTCACAACACAGGGGTATTGACACTTCACAACACACGGGTAATGACACTTCACAACACAGGGGTATTGACACTTCACAACACAGGGGTATTGACACTTCACAACACAGGACACAGGGGTATTGACACTTCACAACACAGGGGTATTGACACTTCACAGGACACAGGGGTATTGACACTTCACAACACAGGGGTATTGACACTTCACAACACAGGACACAGGGGTATTGACACTTCACAACACAGGGGTATTGACACTTCACAACACAGGGGTATTGACACTTCACAACACAGGGGTATTGACACTTCACAACACAGGACACAGGGGTATTGACACTTCACAACACAGGGGTATTGACACTTCACAACACAGGACACAGGGGTATTGACACTTCACAACACAGGGGTATTGACACTTCACAACACAGGGGTAATGACACTTCACAACACAGGGGTATTGACACTTCACAACACAGGGGTATTGACACTTCACAACACAGGGGTATTGACACTTCACAACACAGGACACAGGGGTATTGACACTTCACAACACAGGGGTATTGACACTTCACATCACAGGACACAGGGGTATTGACACTTCACAGCACAGGGGTATTGACACTTCACAACACAGGGGTATTGACACTTCACAACACACGGGTAATGACACTTCACAACACAGGGGTATTGACACTTCACAACACAGGGGTATTGACACTTCACAACACAGGACACAGGGGTATTGACACTTCACAACACAGGGGTATTGACACTTCACAACACAGGGGTATTGACACTTCACAGCACAGGACACAGGGGTATTGACACTTCACATCACAGGGGTATTGACACTTCACAGCACAGGGGTATTGACACTTCACAACACAGGACACAGGGGTATTGACACTTCACAGCACAGGGGTAATGACACTTCACAACACAGGACACAGGGGTATTGACACTTCACAACACAGGACACAGGGGTATTGACACTTCACAACACAGGGGTATTGATACTTCACAACTCAGGACACAGGGGTATTGACACTTCACAACACAGGGGTATTGACACTTCACAACACAGGACACAGGGGTATTGACACTTCACAACACAGGACACAGGGGTATTGACACTTCACAACTCAGGACACAGGGGTATTGACACTTCACAACACAGGGGTATTGACACTTCACAACACAGGACACAGGGGTATTGACACTTCACAACACACGGTATTGACACTTCACAACACAGGGGTATTGACACTTCACAACACAGGGGTAATGACACTTCACAACACAGGGGTATTGACACTTCACAGCACAGGGGTATTGACACTTCACAACACAGGACACAGGGGTATTGGCACTTCACAACACAGGGGTATTGACACTTCACAACACAGGGGTATTGACACTTCACAACACAGGGGTATTGACACTTCACAACACAGGGGTATTGACACTTCACAGCACAGGGGTATTGACACTTCACAACACAGGACACAGGGTAATGACACTTCACAACACAGGGTATTGACACTTCACAACACAGGGGTATTGACACTTCACAACACAGGGGTAATGACACTTCACAACACAGGGGTATTAACACTTCACAACACAGGACACAGGGGTATTGACAATTCACAACACAGGGGTATTGACACTTCACAAAACAGGGGTAATGACACTTCACAACACAGGGGTATTAACACTTCACAACACAGGACACAGGGGTATTGACACTTCACAACACAGGGGTATTGACACTTCACAACACAGGGGTAATGACACTTCACAACACAGGGGTATTAACACTTCACAACACAGGACACAGGGGTATTGACACTTCACAACACAGGGGTATTGACACTTCACAACACAGGGGTATTGACACTTCACAACACAGGGGTATTGACACTTCACAACACAGGGGTATTGACACTTCACAACACAGGGGTATTGACACTTCACAACACAGGGGTATTGACACTTCACAACACAGGGGTATTGACACTTCACAGCAGAGGGCACAGGGGTATTGACACTTCACATCACAGGGGTATTGACACTTCACAACACAGGGGTATTGACACTTCACAACACAGGACACAGGGGTATTGACACTTCACACACAGGGGTATTGACACTTCACAGCACAGGGGTATTGACACTTCACAACACAGGACACAGGGTAATGACACTTCACAACACAGGGTATTGACACTTCACAACACAGGGGTATTGACACTTCACAACACAGGGGTAATGACACTTCACAACACAGGGGTATTAACACTTCACAACACAGGACACAGGGGTATTGACAATTCACAACACAGGGGTATTGACACTTCACAACACAGGGGTAATGACACTTCACAACACAGGGGTATTAACACTTCACAACACAGGACACAGGGGTATTGACACTTCACAACACAGGGGTATTGACACTTCACAACACAGGGGTATTGACACTTCACAACACAGGGGTATTGACACTTCACAGCAGAGGGCACAGTGGCCGATTTAAGTGAACAAAACTATGAACTGTTTTTTTGTTCCACCAGATTAAAGCCCCACCGAGCTATATGTAGCTCTGTTTTTCAGAAGCCCGACGTAGCCATCGAAAATGATAGCCGCTCTACCACGTGGCTTATCATCTTTATATTCTATGGGTCTTTGGGTAAAGCCACATAGATTTAAAATAATAACAATAATAAATTAAACATTTTTAAAAAAAAATAATTAAAGCAACAAAAAAAAAACTGCGATAATACAAAAAAAAGTCAAACAAATAAATAATTGAAAACAATGAAACCAAAAAACCCCACGACCTTTCGATTCCAAGGCAAGCGGCCTTCATCAGGCGGAGAGGGAACGAGGGGAGCAGTAAAAGGTCTACGTGAAACCACCGCTCCAGATTGACAAACTCCAATTGTTCATCTTCTTTGGTTCTTTCGGTAAAGTCACCACCACCACCACCACCACCACGTAGAATGAGAATAAAATAATAAATTGATAAAATAAAATAACACGATAATAATAATAATATTCTCACGACGTTTCGGCCACAACACAAGCGGCCTTCATCAGGTGAAGGGACGAGACTGTCTGGTGGGACAGCGCTGTCCTCCCAGACAGTCTTGTCCCTTGTGTTGTGGCCGAGACGTCGCGATTTAATTGATTTTTCTACCCACGTGATGACTTTACCGAAAGCAATAAATAAAATTGACAAAACAAAATAACACAATAATAATAATATTCTCACAGTGAGAATTTCATTGTGTTATTTCATTTGATCAATTTATTCTCACTGTGAGAATGTTATTGCGTTATTTGACTTGATCAATGTATTATTTTACATCTCATTCTACGTGGTGGTGGTGGTGGTGGTGGTGACTTTACCGAAAGAACCAAAGAAGATGATGCCTCGCAGTCGCGAAAGCTTCAAATCGAAATCCAATTTTTTTAGTTTCAATTCACGTGGCGGGGGGGGGGGGGGTGGGTGGGTGGGTGGGTGGGTGGGAGGGGGGGGGCTCCTCACGTGGGGCCCCCCGCCCTCGCCAGCACCACCAGAGCGGTGAGCAGCGCTGGCCATGGCTCACCACGGAGGAGGTCTTCTCGGGGAACAGGCAGGTCTCCCCGCCCGCTGTGAAGTTGCAGAACGCCTTGAACGCGTCCCCAGCGCAGCCCTGGTTGGGGTCGATGAAGTACTCCCCTGTAGGGGGGGGCGGGGGGGGCGGGGGGGGGGGGCGGTGGGGGGGGGGGCACGAGGACAACTCTCATCGTCGTCATAGTCGTAGCAGTCATCGTCACGGCGATCATCGTCACAGCGATCATCGTCACCGTCGTCATAGTCGTCATCATCGTCGTCGTCGTCGTCGTCACAGCGATCATCGTCACGGCGATCATCGTCACCGCCGTCATCGCCGTCGTCGCCGTCGTAGTCGTCGTCAACATCGTCGTCACGGCGATCACCGACTCCATCATCGTCATCGTCGTCGTCAACACCGTCATCGTCGTCATCGTCGTCACGGCGATCATCGACTCCGTCGTCGTCGTCATCATCGTCGTCGTCAACAACACCGTCATCGTCGTCATCATCGTCACGGCGATCATCGTCATCGTCGTCGTCATCGTCGTCGTCGTCGTCGTCAACACCGTCATCGTCGTCATCGTCGTCACGGCGATCATCGACTCCATCATCGTCATCGTCGTCGTCAGCGTTATCGTAATCATCGTCATCATCATCATCGTCGTCATCATCATCGTCACCATCATAATCATCTTCATCGTCATCATCATCGTCATCATCATCATCATCGTCACCATCGTAATCATCTTCACCGTCATCATCTTCATCTTCATCATCATCATCGACGAGTTCGATTCCCGCTCACGGCCAACACCGCCAGTGACGATTATCTGAACCGGTCCTGGGCCTCCCCTAGGTCGACTCAGCCTGAAACGAGTACCTGGTGCGGTGTGTAGTAAACATCGCCACTAGGGGAGACAAAGGCGGCCGGGCGTGGTGCTGGCCACCCACCCCCTCGTGTGCCGTTCCGGCCCTCATAGGTGCTCGCTAACAGCACTTGCCCCTACAGTCTGTCAAGGCTATACGGGGGGTCTTTGTCTTTGTGTCTGTGTCTCTGTGTCTGTGTGTGTCCACGCGTGCGTGTCCGCGTGTTGTTGTTGTCTGCGTGCGTGTGTGTGTATGTGTGTGTGAGTGTGTAAGTGAGTGTGTGAGTGAGTGTGTGAGTGTGTAAGTGAGTGTGTGTGCGTGTGTGTGTGTGTGCGTGTGTCTGCGTGCATGTGTGTGTATGTGTGTGAGTGTGTGAGTGTGTAAGTGAGTGTGTGTGCGCATGTGTCTGCGTGCGTGTGTGTGTATGTGTGTGAGTGTGTAAGTGAGTGTGTGAGTGAGTGTGTAAGTGAGTGTGTGTGTGTAAGTGAGTGTGTGAGTGTGTGCGTGTGAGTGTGTAAGTGAGTGTGTGAGTGTGTAAGTGAGTGTGTGTAAGTGAGTGTGTGTATGTGTGTGAGTGTGTAAGTGAGTGTGTGAGTGTGTAAGTGAGTGTGTGAGTGTGTGTGTGAGTGTGTGAGTGTGTAAGTGAGTGTGTGAGTGAGTGTGTGAGTGTGTGAGTGTGTAAGTGAGTGTGTGAGTGTGTGTGTGAGTGTGTGAGTGAGTGTGTAAGTGAGTGTGTAAGTGAGTGAGTGTGTGTGAGTGTGTGAGTGTGTAAGTGAGTGAGTGTGTGTGAGTGTGTGTGTAAGTGAGTGTGTGAGTGAGTGTGTAAGTGAGTGTGTAAGTGAGTGTGTAAGTGAGTGTGTGTGTAAGTGAGTGTGTGTGTGAGTGTGAGTGTGTAAGTGAGTGTGTAAGTGAGTGTGTAAGTGAGTGTGTAAGTGAGTGTATGTGTGTGTGAGTGTGTAAGTGAGTGTGTGAGTGAGTGTGTGAGTGTGTAAGTGAGTGTGTGTGCGTGTGTGTGTGTGTGCGTGTGTCTGCGTGCATGTGTGTGTATGTGTGTGAGTGTGTGAGTGTGTAAGTGAGTGTGTGTGCGCATGTGTCTGCGTGCGTGTGTGTGTATGTGTGTGAGTGTGTAAGTGAGTGTGTGAGTGAGTGTGTAAGTGAGTGTGTGTGTGTAAGTGAGTGTGTGAGTGTGTGCGTGTGAGTGTGTAAGTGAGTGTGTGAGTGTGTAAGTGAGTGTGTGTAAGTGAGTGTGTGTATGTGTGTGAGTGTGTAAGTGAGTGTGTGAGTGTGTAAGTGAGTGTGTGAGTGTGTGTGTGAGTGTGTGAGTGTGTAAGTGAGTGTGTGAGTGAGTGTGTGAGTGTGTGAGTGTGTAAGTGAGTGTGTGAGTGTGTGTGTGAGTGTGTGAGTGAGTGTGTAAGTGAGTGTGTAAGTGAGTGAGTGTGTGTGAGTGTGTGAGTGTGTAAGTGAGTGAGTGTGTGTGAGTGTGTGTGTAAGTGAGTGTGTGAGTGAGTGTGTAAGTGAGTGTGTAAGTGAGTGTGTAA